TACGTTACACTATATCTCCATGTCTTCTAAATTTAGAAATCATCTGAGTCGCCTTTAACATTTATCAATAAACCCATCATAGTCGTTGTTGCTAGTCGTATTTGGGTTTATGGATTGGTTTATCATATTAGCTGCCTAAAATGCGAACATAGTTTAGATAATAAGATTAAAAATTTAGGTACTATCAACTGCACTAGTAAAATAACTAAATCCCTAGGTAGCTGTTAGCCAAACAAACGTTTGAAATCAAAACTCCGTAGCCTACTAGAATTAACACTAAACGAATCTTTCTGAATTAAAATTTATAATTAAATTAGGCGTCTCGGATTCTGTAACATTATAAATTTCTGATAATTTCGAATCACCCAAAGCAACAATACCTATTTTTCTACTGACTAATCCTCAATCAACACTATAGTTAATTAAACATAATAGTTTCAGGATATCGTCATAAAGCATTGTCATAACTTGACAATCACGTAATATGATTGATAAAATTAATGAAACTATTAACAAAATCGGTCAGCAAATTGACTTACAATTATCACTAGTGTTATTTTTCTTTTATCTTCATTCACTACAGATGATTACAGTATGTTTCTCTATCAGTTGCTTATTCAGCAAATATCTCAAAACCTTGTCAGTCTAATTGGAGGTTTAGCGACACAATCATGCATGCAAATAATCAGTATAAGCAGTCGAGCAAATCACCTGCAAACTAAAAACATCAATGTCGAATTTACCCCAACACTGACTAAGGTTCAAGCCATTATCATAGACATGAGTTGGGAGTGTACTCCCCCTGGTTACAACTTATGTTCTCCTTGATAATCACATGAGCATCACGCACGGTTAATCATCTTATAAAAACTTATTTAGCTAAATACATCTTGCAGCACCACATCACTTCGTAATATGACACAGGCCTAACTTATTTTAATAACTTATAACCACTATATCTCAATTAAATCGTATTCCGCCTTATTATAAACTGCATACTTGCAACTGACTTGTATGCATCATCAGCCGTCAGGTATAAATATGTATAAATAGTCTATGGCAACTCAGAACATTGAGTCTAGAGCATGTCTCTTACGAATACACTCATGTTTAACGATTTGTTCTCAGCTATCTGTCCAAAACTCATATAATTATCACTCATGTATTGAAATTTTGTTTTAATAACCATTCATGTGTATTAGTAGTATTAATAAATTCTATCACGGTCAAGTAAAAATAAGGTTGAGAAAATCTCCCCGTAACTAAATAAGCCGTATCAAACTAACTGGAACACTAGTTGGAATTCTTCTCCACGGTATACTTTTGTTCCTTCAGTTAGCCTACTAATACAGATGCAATTGGAATTCAACTCATATGGATAACTTACCGGCATAATCGTTATTTGATTTCATAATTTAAACCAAAACTAATAACAATATTAACATTTCTACAATATTCATCACTTTAATGTTTCTAAACACAAAATACTTACTGCCTATACGTTGAGTTATTAACCAACGGCTATTAACACGCATCGTTTTATTATTATTATTGTAATCCCATTTTTTATAGCTCAAATAATCTTCACCCAAATTTTCATTTCAAGCATGTTTAGCATGAAGGCAGATATTTTAAAATTATTACATGTATTTCCCGACCAGATGCTGCCGCTTTCTTTTTGATTTATCTTTCAGCTTACCAATACCCGGAGGATTCTTATTAACCTTGGTAACCTCCGGCGCGCGACGATCCCATCCAATTTGGTATCGAACCAACACCACGTTGATTCTGGTGGGAGAGTAGTGTAGTGGCATTAGACCATAACCACACAATCTTCAAAGCTGAACACAAGACTACTCAGAAAATAGATATTCAATATTCAACACGGAGAAATACCTAAGAATGGAGAAGGCGCGAACAGTGAATTGAATGAACGGTAGTTGATCGAGTGGCATGGCTCGGCCATGCAGGCGTGGTCTCTGCTGAATGTTACCTTATATCTTCTATTCATATTAAATATATAGTTCTTTCTCTAGCCTAACCTTGTTCTTCTTCATGTATTGGTAATTGATACGATACAGTGAGTTGGTGTAGTCGATGGTGTGACCTCCACGTAAGATCTTATAGATTAGGCAGTTATATCATGACAAATCTACAAATTTAGGATTAGGTCTATTATTAGAGCAGTACTAATATCATAGTAGACCATAATTCAACAGATATAACCTTTTATAGCTAAATACAAACAAGTCATATAATATTCATAGTTAGGTTAACGCTTAATTGTTTCTAATTACATTTTATAAACGACTACGGACATCTATGTTCGCCATCACCATAATCAAGGAGGTGAACAATATATAATGGGTTTTACGGCTTATCTTCATGAAACCTTAATCTGTAATCTATTTTTGACCAGAAAAATGGTGAGTTTGACTTGTTCGACTTTGTATTGTTAAAAATAACCATATTACACTAACTACAGATTTACTTAGGTGATGAGCAAGAAATACGTCAAACTGCTTATAAATTGCAATAAAAACTATATTGCAAGCACAAACAATATGAAAATTCACGTGTGATGGAAAGAAGGCTGTTAATGCCTGATAAATAACGACACAAAAAATCCACGACAATGTGTTACATGTGCGCGAAAACCCGTGACTTAACACGCATAGTGTGCCGCAAGATGAACAGTAGCATTACAAACTGACTGAATATGTCCAATATCACCACATTTAAAGCACTTAGGAGTACGAAATTTACATGAATTAAAAGAGTGGAACCTGCCACACGACAAGCATTGACCAACCTTGTGCCCATCTTCGTGAATTGCATCGCAACTCCCCAATGAATTATCTGCATAACCTTGAGTATACACTGGGTTGGGATGATGTAATGCAGTGGAATTTTTTATATCCTCATGAATCATTTTACGACATCTTCTTCCTTTACCTCATTCGAAAATTTTATACTTAACATAGTCTAGCAGTAGTTCCTTGAGAGTTGTATGAGTAAGCGAAATGGGCTTTTCCGGTAAAGCCAGAGTTTTTAATAAGCTATATGCTTCTTTTCCGATGAATATGAGGAAATATGCTACAATATTAACATCCTCATAATCTTCCTTGGTCATAGCCCGGATTTCGAACCTTTCCAAATAATCCTCAAAAGCTTCAGAAGTTGAATGAATATCTAACTTTTCCATCACAGGCTCCATCGCAACCTCAATATAATGTTTCGAATTATTTGAATTATAGTACGAACTAAGGGTCCCAGAAATAACGCAATTGAAGCAAGAAGTACTAGACAAGCACGAACGAATGTATTGTATTTAGAATTCCAAATCAAGCATTCGACAAGTACATAAATATCATTAGTTCATTCAAACACCACACTTCGCTTGAATCATCTAACCTATCCGTAAGCCCTGTTTTTCAAAGTGTGTATTCTATAGTTGATGCAACTAGAAACAGAACAGTTGATTGAATCATCCAGATCTACCTCACGGTGGTTCATACTTGATAAGATTAGGTGTAACGACCGAACTGCCAGTATTTGGTTTGAACGCAGGACTGACGAACCAAAATGTATTCCAGTAGACCAGACTAATCCTAAAATTTGTGCGAAATTAAGAAAAAGTGAGAATAATGACGTGAAACAATTACCAAATAAGTTTATGTTAATTTTATCCACATGCTTGATATATTATTGAGGACTCAGAACAACATATTGTGCTGACTTAATAATGTTTCACTTTTCTCGGTTTATTCTGTAGGTCTGTATTGCTATTAAGCGCGGAAATACAATGTTTATTCTGTGCCGTTTACAGTTATTTGGACAATTTGAAATCAAATAAACTAAACTTATTCACACTGTCATGTATAAAAACTAGAGATTATTTAGCCAAGATCTTTAAGTTATTTAGTTGTGATCTTTAAATGTCCCACCTTTCCTATGTTCTAAAAAGCAGAAATCATTATAACGCTCCAAGAATGGTTACAAGCACAGAATCAATTACTCGTCAAATCACCATCGGCTTTCCTACCGAACCATCTAACAGTGAGACTTCTTGCCTCAAAGCATGTTTCAAGCCACGTTTATCAATTTATCTAAGTGTTAGTTGGATTAACTAAGGGATTCATGTAATTAAATATAACATAAACCATTCATTTGTTCCTTGCAAAACTGAAACTGAAATTAAATGTGCGGGCGAGTTGAACGAGTACGTAACGTCTGTTTTTATTATATTTTTTTGATATTAGGATTCTCAATGAAGTTTTGTCCTTTCCAATGTAAAATAAAACTGAAAACAGAAGTGATCTTTTCCGTTCTTGAAAATATTGGGAAATGTCCCCCAGGTTTTTGTTTGGTGATGCAAAATAAATAATGAAAATTGATGTTTCCCCTAAATAACCGATGTGAAGAGAAAAAATCGACATCTCCCCTTTATTTACGCCTTCTTCCGCTTTGTTATTTGTTTGTTCGCTTTTATTTTCCATTTATTGGTTGCTTGGGAAGATCTCAAAACACCTCTGTTTTAGCTAGGAAATTGTTTCATTTGGTAGTCAGTTTTGATGATAATTACAAGAAAGCATCTAATATTAAAACCCAAGAGTCTTTATATGTCAAATGAAAGCGAATTCTCGCTGACCAGTGTAATAATATGTTTGACTCCATTTTGATTAAAAAATCGACTAGCGTAAAAGTCTTCCACAGAAGAGATCAAAACACAACTGGCATATTATAGGATAAACAGAGGTGTACGAAAGTTTTCTGGGTCTTAGCGTGATTTTGTGAGATTTTATGACCCGTAGTTTATTGATATGAGCCTCATTAAGAAACAGATGTGATAATCAGTGTGTTGCAATCATGAACTCAATAACCAGTTCTTTATATTCAGTGATTCATGCTTTTCACTGTCTTGAATTTTCTCTAGAGAGCTGCTCAATTTACGCGTTAAAAACTATTGTGAAGACGGTGAACCACCTTTATTCTTCAATATGTTTTGTGAATTATGTAGAGTTGAGTTTTCATCATCGAATAAAAAGGTATTCAAAAATTAATTTAAATAGTCAGCAGAAATCCTGTAAAATGTGTGGCTCAGTACAGTGTTCGAATTGTTTGAGGTTTAAACTTAAAAAAATCAAGCCAGTATGTTTGGATTGTTATTATGATAAAAAAAGGTAGTTTGTTTGCTAATTTTTTAAAATAAGCTATTAGTGTGAATGACCCTGAAGAAAAACTTTGCTCATTCGCTTCTTCAAGGTATTCCTGCTTTCGGTTAATGTACCAGTCGTGCATTTATTGTAGCATCAAATCTAAAACCTAATAAAACTAATCAAGAAGTTCGCTCACGCAATGGTATAAAAATTTGTTAAGACATTTTTATTTTAGGTATAAACTCTCTCAGATCCGAAGACTGATGAACTTGTTAAGAGGTTTGAGAACCTTAAGAAGAATCAAGTCAAAGGTAAAAGCTATGTTTCTCAGCATTTTGGTTATAGCAGAAGATGTTTCTCTTTTAGAATATCGATTTCGACAGCTCAAAGGACTGACTGAGGAAAAACCTGCTTCTTCTGAAAACTCTTCATTGTCAAAGACCGATCGAGTTTCTAAACTTGTGGAACGGGTTAGTTATACCTTCAATCGTACTTTCAGTTACAGTTGGTCTTGATATTTCCCGATTTAATCTGACTGAATTTTTAATTGATGATGGACAATGTATCGTTTATAAGTTCTGTGGTCATGGTGTATTACTTGGTTTTTATTGAGTTCAAACCGAGAAACAACATATTCTGAATACCTTGTGTCGTATATTTGTCCATCATACTAATTATTAGGAAGCTTTATGTGCTTGAAAACTATCACAGTATTATATACTAAAGAACAATTAAGTAATTAGAAAATATATCGAGTTCTGAGTCAGGGAATTATAAAATTAATACAAATGTATCTCATCAACTAAACATGTTAAGTTCCATACAAAAGAATCAATAAAAATAAACAAATAAGCTGTTGGAGAAATATATTTTTATAAGAATTAGAGATGCTATACTAAACTGCTGTAAAGTTTGCAGATATTTATTTAGAAAAAAAGCGGTCATTCACTGGGTTTTTAATGCATAAATTATATTTCTTGGTTGAAATAACAGAAAATTATGAATCGATTATCAATCTGATATTTGTGAAAGGAATCTCCTGATCGCATGTTATTACTCTTTGGAGCATGTCAATGGATAATAATTCAGTATATGGTACCGTACCGTATCAAATAATCAACTTTGCTTAAAATAGAATTGATTCAAATTTTTTAGTGCTAGAAAATTTGAACTTGTTATTTGTGTAAACTCGCGCCTAAATAACATGCAAAATTAACTAGTTGTTGTTATTCATGGATCAATTATGGCTAAACTTACTTGTTTTTATCTCTTAAACGAAGCTACCGCTGTATACTTAGTGTGAAATCTTGATTTGCGGATTAAACAGTATTGTGGTACTTCAAAAGATGTTAAAATATACTTTTGTTCAATAAAATGTCAAGTATGGCTTAACATCTACACAGTTTCATTGTTTTAAATCTAAATCATGTACTCTAAAAGTTAATATATAATACTGAATTATTTAAAAAGACATATTACTGAATAGTTTTCTGAGTTTTAGGTAACATAGCTTGCTAGAACACTGGAGACCAACTGCATTACGTTAATCAAATTCCTTATCTTAAACATATGTTATTAATTCGATGTCCAGTTCAACTCATAAATTCAATAAATCAAAGGGCGAGTTTAATCCACAGCAGTTTGCTCTATTTTACTTCATGCTTATTAAAAGTAGTCTTTAAAAGTAGGGGACACTTGTAGGTTAAGAACGTTTGTTTATTATTGTCTTCAAAACAGTGCTTTCGTATTGTGGGAATATTGATCAAGTATTCAGTAAAGATGGTGTATCGGTCGATAATATTGTAAATCCTCATCGACTGACGTTATCAGGACATGCGTTACATATGCCCAACTTCTTGCTTCGATACTTGATGTTGGCTAGAATAGGAGTAAGTTGGAAGAAAGCTAAGGGCTGTTAAGACATGGCATCAGTCCATAAAGTCATTGACTGTTGGTCTAAGCCATTTTGGTAAGTTTAGACATCCCTGTTGTCGTCGACGTTATTGTTTTGACCAATGGCCATGATATTTATCTTAATAATATCACCTCTACACTGAAGTGTGGCGATAATTCGTGCTGGTGCATATATTTATCAGATTGTAAGTTGTTTGTAACTAACTGGCTGTTTGAACTCAGCCAAAGATGAACTTGGTAAAATGCGTATAGTAGATGATCTTATAAATCATTTGCTTTGTTTCGTAAAATCGATTCATTTGAGATTTAAAGGAATCTGTCTCGTAATCAAATTTCCATTTCAAATCTCGGTCATTTCAATATTTTACCAAATGGACAGAGTTGTTGCATCACTAAATGTGAATATAAATTGTAGTCCGTACTATGGTAAAACTTAAACCTAGCTTTTATATTGAGGAAGCGGTGGGAAACTTGAAGTTTACGAATTCATCTGTAATACTTGAAACAGTATAAATTTCACAAACTGATCAGTAAATACCATCATTTTTATAAGTTGAAATTTCCGAAATAATAAACTTCACTCATACAAAAATTAAACACCTAGAACACACTGTAATATGGTTAGTCTACAGTTAATCAACCAGAAATAGGCGGCCAATACGAGTTTTGTATTAAGAATCCTGCTCGTAAAGACTTGTTCAAAACAACCAATTTTTCAAATGGGGTTACTCTCGATTGGTAAAGATACATTCAATACAACAATTTAATATATAGTCTGGGGAATAATTGTAAAGTCAGTCAGTCAGCTACAACGTAGGACCAGGCACATATGTGCATCGGTCCAAGTTGCCATACCTCATTAGCACAGCAAGATGAACACCGGATTCATAGGAGTGGTTAGGTCAAAGGTTGCAATAAGGATATAGTATAGGAAGAAAGAATTAGTTCGTAGAAAGAAAGATATGAAGTGATTTTAATCTCTTAGTTTAAGGGAAGACAGGGAGTGTATACACCGACGCCATTGTGATCGATTCTGAGCCATGTCGCCAAGAGTCTCCAACCATTGGTTACGATGGTCACGCGGACCCCAACCAAGTAGTCTGCATCTACCAACATGGCTCAGACTAGAAGTTAGTGACTTCAGGCACTGATGCCACGTTTTGGTTTGGCCGCCCCTAACTTTCTTCCAACCATCCCCTACACCGGTTAGCATTGCACGTCGTGGTAATCGGTGTTCAGGCATACGTAGTACGTGGCCCAACCATCTCAGTCGATGAAGATTCATAACCTCATCAACTGATTTACCATCATTACCTAACACCCTGCGTCTAACCTCACTATTACTTACCCGGTGATCCCAGCAGATGCCAGCAATATTTCTAAGGCATCTGTGGTCAAATACTAGTAGCTTACGGGTGTCTTCCACTCTTAATGGCCATGTTTCGCTGCCGTAAAGTAAGACAGAACGGACTGCCGCGCAGTATACTCGTCCTTTTATTGATAGACGGATATCTCGCCTCCGCCAAAGGTGACGTAAGTTGGCAAAAGCCAAACGAGCTTTTCGAATCCGTGCTGAGATTTCGTCAGACACCAACCCATTAGGGCTGATCAGACTTCCAAGATAAGTGAAGTTGTCAACGCGTTCGACTACTTCACTCCCTATCCTTAGTTCAGGTGTTGACGCAGACCAGTCCTGAAGCAACAACTTGCATTTAGAGGGAGAGAAGCGCATCCCAAACATTCTGGCATTGTTGCTTAGTGCTACCAGAAGACTCTGCATTTTGTCAGTGTCTTCACCAAACAGGACTATGTCATCTGCGTATTCTAAGTCGATAAGTGGACCTCCTGGAAGGAGATCAATACCCGAGAATTCAGTCGACGAGAGTGTTATTTCCATCAATAGGTCTATGATGAAGTAGACAGTGATCAAAGTAGGCAGTGATCAAAGTGCTAACCTCATAACTAGTCTTTTTTTACGTTTGAAGTCATCTTACTGGCTTATTCTGATTAGTTTTCTCACTAAGGCCGACTGCCTTATTGTTTATATTACACTTTACATTTTTAGTACATTGAAGAAGCACGAATTGATTCAAAATGTAGCGTTGATTTTGGTCTGGATGATGATCCTACTGAAAAGGAAAATTTTCCTTCGTGCTATATGTGTGATGGAGTTGCTGAATTTTCGTGCAGAGAATGTGACGATAATTTTTGCCAACGGTGTTTCAAGTACGTTGTATACACATAACCTAAGATTGTTGGTTATAAATATAATTAAATAGACCAACAGTCATATTTTAAGGAGAGGAGGAGCAAAGCTTTTAGCAGAATAGCATGAATTCAATTTATTTTGCTTGGTTCTCGTCAGCTGCTTACAACCTGCGATATTTAAAGGTCACAATAACAAAATGTTTTGAAAATACACACTTATTGTCTGCAATAATAAACAGCATGTAATCCGCCTGTTAGGACTCTTCAATAATGCTCATCCCGACATATAAATTACTATGGAACACGAAAAGGACGACATGTTCCACTTTCTTGATATTGCCATACAATGGAGGGAAGACGAGAAAATCCAACATTCGGTTTATCGAAAAGGTACTTGTAATGGTCTTCACTCGAATCTCAATGGTTTTTGTCTAGTCAGTTACAAGAAAGTGTTGGTCAAACACTATTTTATAGAGTAAAAAAGATATGTACCACCGATGGTCTAGAAGAAGGATTAAAAATACCTAAGAGACAACTGACACCCACAGAAATTTGTTGACAAATATAAAAATCCTAGAGAAAACAAGTCGGGTGTGAATACAGTCAATAAAAAGTCAGTATTTACAAATCTCAACTTCAAAGGTGATGACGTCGCAAGCACAATCATCAGAAGGCTTAGCACTGCATTGGCCAAGACTTACGCAGCAGCTAAACTATAAATTATGTATAAAACAACATGTCCAATAACTCAATCAAAGGTCGACAAGCACCCGTTTCATGTTACCGCCAACGTCTTTTTATTTCTGCTGTCTTCTAGATTAGTAACTGAGCTTTACTCATTTTATTCTTATTAGCCTTTACTCTAGCCTTTTGAACTCTTGTTACAGTCAAGGCTGCAGAATATTCTTTTACGTAGGATATGTCCATTAAATTTATTTACATCTTTTCTATACTACACTGATGTGTCTTCAACATAACTTCCAACTAAACTCCTTCATGTAAGTAAGTTGAACTCATTTTGTAATTATGATTGTTAAATATCACAAGTTATAAACAACTGACGGTAACCAAACGAAATAAAATGAATTCATGATATTCTGCTCAAATCTTTGTTCTTGCTCACTTCAAGGTAATAAAGAGAAATGTGTGTATGAAACCATATTTTATCAAAACACGTAGCATTGTAAATCAATCTGATTACAAGAACCAGTCTTCATCCAGCTAAATACCTATGAAAACAGTAATTTCCCTATTTTATCCAATAAATACAAGAACTAAGGTTATAGAAACTTTACGGAATTCAAGATAGTACGATCACCGCGAAAAGCCACCTTATATACTCACCAAACTGAACCTTTTGTTATTTATGTTTGTTTCTGAAATGCAAAATGATTATTTAGTTTTAGAACCTCAACAATCTGAACAAAATCAGTAGGTAGAATCAGAGGGCAGCTGGAACGCTTCACATCTTTTAGCCTCTGTTGATGATTTAAGCAATCAAAATCAGACTAGTTTATTATTATAATTAAAGAGTATCCTAAAGGGTGATTAGACTAATATATCATAAGTTTTGTAAAGTTTCTATAACCTTAGTTTCATGTCTTTATATAATGTATGTCATGTAAAATAAAGAAATTCCACTGTTTTTCAAAAAAAATTTCATTAACTCTGTAGTATCATTGATCGGGATGATGATTTGTGGTTTATTTCTAAACAAATTGATGTTTCTTTTTTTCTCTTTCTCTACTTAAAATTAACTCATACTTTGAATAATTTTTTCTGGTTAGCGCTTTTCTAGAGAGCTAGTTTTCTACGTGATGGGGTCGCTAACCCCATGCTCAACCCTCCTTTATCCGGGCTTGGGACCGGCAGTAGCCCTCGGAGGGACTCCAGGCGGAGTTAAAATTAACTCATACTATTGTGATTATTATAATATGGTATGATGATAATTAGCAACTGATTGACTAAATATTTCAAGAATACACCATATGAATGACTGTAGCTTTACTTAATTCAAACTTGAACAATCTGATCCAAGTTCATTAAGATCGTAGATAGTTGTTGATCTAATAAAACATTTTCTTAATCATTTTAAATCAACTTAAAACATTATATAACAATTACATGGAGTAGTAGCTTCTAAGTAATAAGTCATACTTTTGTACCTCGCTCTTCACATATGTCAGTTTGGGCTGAACACATAAGCTGTATTAGTAATGTTATATTATTTGAACTGGTTGATTTAATGTGCAATGTTTTCATTATCATTCTAGACAACATCATCAACACCTAACTCAGAAAACGCAACACTATCGAAAGTATTCATTTGAGCCATAAATCTCCGATATTATTTCATCATAATTCTATAGTTAGTAAATAAATTGTATTAGACTATGATTAATATACAATTGCTTATCAATTAAAGATTTGTGTACTTGGTTTTAAGTCACAGATCAAGTATTAGGGCTAGTTTTAAAACTCGGTTGCTTAGATCAAATTAAACGAAGTGGTATTCAAACCTACGACTTAGTAGTTAAAAGTCGTCGAACATCTTAACCATGTAGCCACGGCTTCATGAACTACATTAAAATTATAACTTTCATTATTAAGAATAACTGCTGTTCTCTCCATTTTTTTCTAATTTTTTTAGTAAAACGCACAATAAACGAGAGAGATTCGAACATCAAACTGGGATTTGCAAATAAACTCTATTACGATTGTTCGTCATTGTTTTCTCTTAAGATGAAATGTATTACTATTATTATCCATTACTTTCCGTCATGTAGATACTTGATTTGACTTCAGACACTGCTACTTCTCTTCCCCTTCCGCTCTTCACTTACTGTTGTTGACTTTTGTACATTTGTATTTATTTCTAACAATTATTATTGATATATTTTTTGGCCTATTCTGCGTTTACTATGAAATGAATTACCATGTAGTGAGTTTTTCATCCATGCTATTGAGATTCTTATGGTGGTCATACTGGTTGTAGATTTAGTGTTAATCAGTGGATAGAGCTATATACTTATTTTGATATTAACCATGTGATTGTTAAACATCAAGTGGTTTCGTACCTTAATCATTGAAGATAATATATAATAATATAATACATAATTCGTATACTCGGCTTTGACTCACGCTTCATATATGTTAAGACTAGTGATACTTCCCGGCTGATTAAGCCAAGTTGTATGTAACGAGCCTTGAACCTACAAGCTAGTGATTGAAAGTCGAAGGCCTTAATCACTAAGTCACTGTTCCACTAAAATTAAACTTCAACTAACATCTGTTTATGCTTGTTTGAGAATCAAATTTACATAGAAACGTTGGGTTAGTGATAAAGGCATTCAGGTTAAAGTCTGTAGGTCTCATTTTCGAACGCTGTTACACCTACTAACCGTCATATAAAAACTGCGATTAAAAACCAGGTACGTAAACCGAGTGATGATAACTTAGATTATAACCATAATATTTGAGAGACTTATTATGGTCATATCTGTTGAATTTTCCACCATTGTCAATAACACTAATTCCCACAACAAATCCACATTGTATGCAATGGGGATTGGTTCATGTAAATGTTTTATACCATCAACTCCCCAATCAGAAAACAAGAGAAGTCATTGGATGTACCTTCTATTGTTCAGACTTGAAACTTGCATGACTGTAAGTATTAACCACAAGATACTGTTGTTCTAAAGAACAATGGAAGTCTCACGATTAATCCACTTAGTCCAAGGAATGAAGCTCTATTAGAATCATTGACTTAAGCTATCAATCTCTTCCTCGATCAAAGTTATAGTTGACTAGTTCTTAACACTGAATAAGTCCTGTCGACCAACATACAATATGATTATTACTAGTCTGAATAACAGGAAATCGTGTACACTACATTTCGTTGTTATCGTTTTGATTTGATTGGCAGAAAGTCATCTTTGACTTTGGTTTTCATGATAGTCAGTACTCATAAGTCAGCAAAGGGGTGGGGTAATAAGAGATACTTGATGATATATACAGAATATAATGTACAATAAGCAGTTATAAAAACAAAAATATTTTAGCATTCTTCAAAGTCAATGAATTCTGTTGAACTTTTCAGCGATAAACAGAGGGATAAATTTAGGAGTCACTGCCAGTATCGTCTGAGTGACTAAGCGGAGGGAATAGAGCGGTTTTGCTTGAAGAAAAACTTTCCTACCTTGAGCACACAGATGTTATCTTACTGTGTGGTGGTTTCATTTTGTCAGTTGGTAATAAGCTTATGTAGGCATTGGATTTACTTTGCATCTTCCGAAGGCAGATTAGCTTTTGCCGAACCAAACTATAAGCTCTTCGTTATGCTAGTCTTGCATCGACATCGCATTTACGACGCGTCTATGTGAGTAGTTCCGCTCTCTGCTTACAAAAATTAACTGTTCAGATTAAGAATGATAAAAATTTTTGGCCATCGTCGTCCATAAAAGATTGCTGACCTTCAGTGGGAACACCGTGTTAGTAATACAGATTCGGCAAAGTGTGTTCAGGCACAGTGACAAAAATCCGGTCATTGTCATCATCTAACACCTACTCCTGTGACTTGAACCTGTCACACAAATGCTATTTTTAGTGGCTATGTCATACATTACATGACAACGATAGTACTGGTTCGAAAAAGTAGGGATCCGTTTACGACATGGCTTTGTTTAATAAAAGAAATAATACTGTCATATGTTGATGCGTAGCAACTATTCTGATGGCGACTTAAAGGTGGTGCAACTCAGTGTTTTGAGACGTTATCAAGTATCCCTCAAAATAGGAATCAGTGGTAATCATCCTCTAGTTTTCTTTCACAATCTTCGTAAGAGTGAGGAACTCGTTCAACCTGGAAAAGAACATACCACCTACCTTACACTTGAGTTCGCTTACGCTTAATTTTGCCAAACTCTTCAATTAACTTATTTAACAGACTGTCGTTCAGACGGTAACAATTCGCAGTTCTTTGTATCATTATTATCATGTCTGTATTCTTGATTACGTGTTACAGCCTTCACACATATCTATCTTACTAGCTGTAGTCAACGCTTCGTATTGTCTTCTGAAATTTATAAACCGTTGGTAATTATTTAATAACAGTTATCAGGACAAGTGATAGACAGAGATTTAGGAATTATCTGAAAGATAATAATTGGTGAGCTGAAAGTGCGAATGGAACGCAGCTTTCTACGGTACGATCTAAATTCGAAAATCAACACACTTTGTCTCAATTCAGATTACTTTTGTGGATTATTATTGCTGTGAATTACCATTATCGTTATTTTCATTACACGTACATTATCTCATAAATATTGTGGGATACAATTAACTCCATTAACAATAATAAATAAAAGAATGTATATACAGTTAATACACTGGTTATAACATTTTATCGTTTTTTATTATGATTATTATTGTCGGTTTGTTTCCCTTCCCTTGTTTTATTTGTGTACTACTTACTGTTTGTACACATGTCAGAGTACGCTAAGTTAAGTTGCTCTCAAACGCGGTCCGTGAGGTCCCTTAATATTTTCTATCCCACCTTTTAGAGTCAGTAACTCATAATTAGACGACAGGAGAGAGTTAAATATTTTATGTCATATATTGACAAAGTCGACTCAGACTGACAGACCACAAAGATGGTCATAAAACAGGTTGCTCACTGGAAGCCTATCATCCTCGAAGAGACGCTTAGCTCCTTCGATATTTTGGCATCATCAAACACATGGAAACAGGACTGGAAAGCGTAGACCACCTTGTAGGTTTAAAATAACACAACTTAAAAATGATCCAGCGAGATGTCGGCGATGACTACGTCAGTAGGCGTAACTCCGAGGAACAGTCGTTTGTTTTAGATACAGGAAAAGACGACAAGGGCACAATTCTTAGTAGATACGTGAGCAGAAATCAGCGTCGTGTCTAAAACATTGAAAGATAAAGAGCTCTCCACGAGAATTCCAAGTCTTAAATTCTATTTCTGACAAGAGTATGATTGTGTACCCTTGAAAAGTTACATAATAGGATAAAACGATAATCAAGTACTTATTAGTTTCCAACAGTTGTCTAGTATATACTCAGTCTGTGATATAAACTGAAAAGAACGCGTAGCGTGGAGTCTAGTCTCGATTGACTATGAACACCACTACAAGAAGACTACGTGCCAGTTAACCAATAAAATTTCCCGTAAGCCAAATATCAGAAGGCAGTTGATGGCTGTAGTCGAGATGTATTTGTTGGCGATCTCGTGGTATTGAAAGGATACCGAGATAGTGCCAAAGAAGTACAAGCGTGGTTACTGAGCGTAACCGAACCCGTGCAAGGTCAGAATCGAAAGATAATGGCGCATTAATTTGGCTGTCTTTAGCACAGTTAAACAAACGAGCACAGTAAAACAATCACTGGTACAATTGGTTATATAATGATTGTTTCCATTAAATCGATCGCGTTCTCCTGGTAAAAGTAGGTCACTACAGACGTCCATATGGCCTATATATATAGAGCCTTAAAACGAGAGTGATTAGTTACATACCTAGATACTAATTAAGAATGAACGTCTTCTGACCTCATCGGAAATCTCACTAATTTTTATAATACATCATTGCTCTCAAATAACGCGCTATACATAGCAAAGTCAAAGTTTTCCAATCCGATAAGTTATGTTATATTTATTCATTTATATTTTAATTGGCTTCAATAATTTACTAATTACAAGTATAGCAACAAATGATCAAAGGTTGAATAGATTACTCTTCGCCCTGATGTCTCTTGAATAAAAAGAAAACATGTTATGTAATATCCATAACATTGAATAATTGATTATACACATTATATTGTTGGCTAAGTTAAAATATAAAAACGAAACAGTGTAAATTAAATAGTCCATTAATAACCTTTCCAAGATTTTACGTATAATCTATTGTATCTACAGACCAAATGTTATTCATTCACATTCTATCATGTAAGATTATTTAAATTTTTTTTGTCTGTCCGTATCGATTAGAGACAGGTATCTACCTCAAATAATGAATAAATGGTTGCTCAAGATTATGGATTGATTAAAGTTAAACATTAACACCATTGGATACCTACCGGCTCAGTAGTCTAGAAGTTAAGTGTTCACGCATGAGATTGAAAGTTCTGAGTTCGAGTCACTTTGGTGTGGGATCATGGATGCACACTGCTGAGAAGTCCCACACTAGGATGAAACAGCCATCCAGTGTTTCCAGGTTTGCAATGGTGGTCTAATTTAGATTAAATCGTGAATTCAACTATTAAAATCATTATAATCTCCATAAACCCTTATTCTAATGTTAACTAATCATCATCAATTTTAAATCGACAGATCTAATAATATTGGATTTAATGTTACAGGTGAGTGTTTTGTTTTGAAATCATAATCTGTCTATTTCTGTATTCATTTTGACTAATGAGATTTACAAATGAAGTTATTCTATCCAACATTAGATTATATAATGATTATGTTAGTATCATTTAACCAACTTTACTTTTGTTATATTAACACAGTTTACATAAAATCAGTGCTAATTATCTAGGTTGTAGTTATATTTAATAAGTCTAAGATTATATTGGTGTACTATATTTCTGCACTTACAGAATCTTTATCGACTGAGGTGGTTGTGACTTACTTTTCCATGTACCTAAATTGATGGTTGCTCTGGTTGTAAGATGGGGCATGAGTTTCGTGACTTTCGAAGGAACTCAGCTTTCATCATGAGGGGTCTAAATGAAGACCTTCTAACTCCCAGGGCAGAGCTTAGATGGTTTGAATTATTTTTTCTGGTTAGCGTTTTTTTGGCAAGTTAGTTTTCTACGGAATCAGGTCGCTAACCTCATGCCCAACCCTCCTTCTTTATCCGGGCTTGGGACCAGCAGTAGCCCAAGAGGGGTTCCAGGTAGAGTGAGGTGGTTGTGATATGTACTACATACCCATCAACTAACTCCTACTTTAATATTTTAAGTTGGCTGGAGTGAGAATAGGTTAAAATAAAGCTGGGGAGGTCACTGCTAAACCTAGATAAAGCATCAGTCTATGAAGTTATTGTTGGTTTGAATCATGTTCGCGGATACAGACTACTTGATTAGAGTTCAAGTGATAAGCGCTATCAGTAGATGGAGATTTAATAGGGCATAGTTCAGAATCAGTTACATTCATTCTTTATCTTAACCTGAACTTTGAATACCAGTATTTTTTTCCACATACTTCTTTAATTGTTCTTCTAAAACCATATTCTTTCTTTTTAGTCTACCTCCCTTTCATAGCTGGGTACAATTATTTCGACTTCTTCACCATTCCTGTTAATTTCATGTCATGTTAATGAAGTATATCCAAATGAGCTGACATAAATTTGTGAAAAACTCTATATTGATAACCATTGATGAACCTATAAACAGATTTACTACTTTACTAAACAACAATTATGTCATGATGGATAATCATACTTCATAAATGAGGATTAGTTAATATTTGTAGAAAGTTAGCTATCTTTCCAATAAAGTTTATCGTTATATATATTATGAAAGAGCATAGATTACTCTTAAAAATACACTATCTTTATAGAGTATATAACAAGTAGTTTCGAAATGTCTTCAATAGAAATCAATTAACAATAAAATCTAAATGAATTATCAACCACTAATCATTTTATATTATACTTAATCCAGTATGAAAGTCAATGTGGTTCTGATCTAAACAATTCAATGTTATTGGTGGAGTTTCGTTCTCTGAGCTGGATGGTTTGGTCGTGTTTGTTTTGTTATTTCTCCTGCTTTGACTAGCTTGTTTAAGGTCTTTGAGATTTGGTTGTCTAATTTTTTGACGGGATTTGTATCCATCAGTTTGTATGTGCTCTTATCTTCTAGTAGTTCTTCGGCCTTTTTGACGTATTCTTCTTTGTCCATGATTACTGTGGTGAGTCCTTTGTCCGCTGGTATTATGACAATATTCTTTCTATTTTTGAGTTCTTTTAAGGCCTTTTGTTCTTGTGGAGTCAGTTGGTTGTTTTCCTTCGCCTGTTGAGTTAGCGGTACTATCGTTTGCCTTATTTCTTGTTGTGTTTCTTCACTGATTCCCGAAGTTTTGAGTGATGACTCCAGTGCTGTGAAGAATTCCAGCTTTGAGGCGTCGCTTGTATTGTAGTTTAATCCTTTTTGGAGTAGGTGTTCTTCCGTATTTGTTAGTGGTTGTTTTGACAGATTGATCAAGCAGTTGTTTGTGTTTTCTTCCATGGGTGGTTTTGAGATTTTGATCAGTTTTTTCTTTAAGGCGTTTCTTCTTTGTTCTCTGTGTCGTTTGCATGATATCTTGATGGCTGTTGTCGAGATTTCCAAGTGTTCTGACACAAGTGTCCTTTGTAGCTTCATCTTTTGGTCCTCTATGACGTGTTGGTATTTGCGGATTCTGTAGTGTGCATCCGTTATCACTAGGTGTACCATTTTTCTTCCACTTTGCTCAGCTATTTTCTATCCTAATGGGCAGTTGATTGGAGGTCTATATCTTACACTTACATGCTGGCGAAGACACTCATGGAGAAAATATAGTGGAAGCCTGCCTTTTGGCGAAATTCTCCCATTTTCGAACGACGAGAAGCGTATTACGCTCATATGATTTTGCGATGGTGGAGAAGATTTGTAGCGCAGGTGGATGATTTTGGTGGAGTTTTGTTCTCTGAGCTGGATGGTTTGGTCTCCACCATCTCAAATTCAATGTTAATATACCCTAAGTATGGTATTGGTATGATGTAAGTTTATATACCTAAAAAAGGGTGTAGATAAGTTATGTTACGTAATCATAGTTTTTTTGTTTTTTGCTGTTGTTGAAATGTAATCATTGAATATAAAACAAAATTGTCTTCCTTTAAAATATTCGTTTCATACCCTAGTGATGATCATAGATTTAAGTTAGATAACTTTATTTGACTTTCTTTTTTAGATTGATTCAACCAGAGAAAAGATAAGTAAGTTGATCTTTTATGATCTTATTATTTTTAATATATTTTTTTCTGGTTAGCGTTTTTTTAGCGAGTTAGTTTTCTACGGGATGAGGTCGCTAACCCATGCCCAACCCTCCTCCTTTATCCGGGCTTGGGACAGGCAGTAGCCACCGGAGGGACTCCAGGCGGAGTTATATTTTTAATATTACATTTGATATAATGAATTTTTAGAAAAAAAAATAATTTGGCTAAATAACACTATTTCACTCTTACTTAATTCTTGATAGATACTACTAACGAAGTGATAGGATGTATTATTATTATTATTGTTATTGGCTTTATTCAATATTACTAATTTTGATAGAATATCGAATTCTCAGCACAAAGTATTTCAACAAGTTCCCTTTTCTTATTTCTTGATCGGATCCTTGTGATAAATATTGAGTGATCGCCAGTTAGATGTTAACAGTTCTGGAATCGATATCTAAATAATATTCATTCTGTTCAGTGCATATTACCAGCAACCATGATGTCTGTGATTGGACCCTTTTGTAACTAGTTCAGTGAAATGTTGTAAACTTTTCATAAAAGCACTTGAATAGGTTATGCGACTAATAGGCATAATAATGTGTTAAAACAGACTAGAAAACAGATAACTTGTTGAAATATATTCAGAGAGAAGGAACAGGTAGCCCAGATATTCAAGCAGTAACTGTTCATTTTAATCTAGTCTATAGAAAATATGGATATATAAACGAAGAATAGTCTTTTTTTAAATGATTTCTGATAAGTCTTGCAGATTAGAACGCTATATTCGTCTCCTAAGCTATTCTGTAACCCCCAAGCTAGAACTAAACAGCGACCTGAACACGAGAGAGAGAAGACTGAAAATATGCGAGAAGTAGTTTACTCCAAGGTTCATTTTAATACAGAAAATATAGGGCTTTTATAATATTTTAAATGTCCTTGGGTTGCTAGAAGATTCTGGAAATGCTACTAAACATAGTAGCAGTGTAGCAGTCAACCAATCAGAGTCTCTGCATGTGACGTTTCGCTTCCTTGATATTTTTGGCAAAAACTCCAAGTGGACGCTGATTAGATGAAACGCTTCTTAGTGTTTCCTGATGCTTGCTTGTCTTTTGCAAGCAATTTTCTGGATCATCCCAACAATTTCACATGAAGTTCTATAGTTGAATGTCTCAATATGATGATTCAATAAAGTACGCAATGTTCAATTCGACATTAAAGCTTGTTAATTGAATAAAACTGTCAAGATTGAAATGACTAGTTAGTAATTATTAACTTGAATAAGTTAATATGTCAACTGAAACAGTGAAATCAGTAATCACCACAAATTTGAATTAACAGAATAGAAAAGAACTAATATGAGAGAGAGAGAGTGGGTGAAATTGTTTAGTTGTTTTTCCTTTAGTCGGTAGTCAACCGTATCCAGTTTTCTTTATTCTACCATAGAATGTCCAAGAGGGGGGGGCACCAAACTATGACATGACATTGAGCTATGGAGTTTTCTTTTTTTTTATTCTACTTTTGACTTAGCTTCTGAAAAATGGAACAATCTACTAAATACAGAATTATTTACAGATCAAACAATAAAATTACACATAGAAAAGGAATGTATACAGACACTAGCAAATGTTTCTATAAATAAAGTAAGTTTTGACTGATATCAGCATTTCTGATGATTTTTGTTTATTGTATCCGAAAAAACAATCTATGGGTTTAGCTGTGACCTAACGCTAGCAAAACATTTCCAATCATTCCATGAAAAAATATTACTTCTTGTTAGTCTCCAATCTATTTACTATATCATTCTTACACATTTTTGAATTACTTCAAACATTAGATAATCGTAAGGTGTTAGTTTAAGGTAGTCGACAAGTGACTTTGGATACAGATTTCATGCTATTTGTCACTTGTTAGTAAGATGTACCTGTAATTGTGAAGGAATCAGTGCTCCTTGCTAGATCCTATCACTCGTCACCTAACTTAAAAGTCAGAGACAATACAACTGAGTCTTAATTCCCTCACAATTACAGATACACCTCGCTGATGAGTGCCATATAGCATGGAATCTGAATCCAAGGTTTCCTACAAACTTTCTCCAGCCATCATCTTACATGTCAACATAGTGCACGTGATATATATATATGATTGAATTCATGGGTCAGTTGAAACTAGACCACCATGCAAAACCTGGAAGCACTGGACGGCCGTTTTATCCTAGTATGGGACTCCTCAGCAGTGTTCATCCACGATCCCGCCCCGCGAGATTCGAACCCAGGGCCTTCAGTCTCGCGTGCGAACGCTTAACCTCTAGGACACTAAGCCGGTCGGCATCCATCGGTGTTAATGTCTAACTTCAACCAATCCACGAAATTGCGCCACCGTCCGCCATTGTCATAAGTGAGTTATTATCTCACAACAGACACGGTTGATCTCCACTGGTCACTGCTTCTCACTAGAATTCCAGAAAATAACTCTTGAAGCCACTCACTACTGAGCATATGATGATTATGATCAGATAAGGGTTTTTCGGGGTTTGTAATAATTGTAGTAATCAATTGACTTATGAATTCAATTATTAAATTACTACAATCTTCACAAAACTCCTGTCTGATTATATATATCCTTGGCAAATCATCATATCTCATCCTAGAAATGTACAGTATAGCATATTCGCCTGCTACAAATCCTGTTAACGCTTAAAAATCAATCATCTATTCATTCACTATTTAACAGGGGGTTGTTTGATCAACTCAAGATACTTAAATTATCACTGTTTTTTTATTTATAATTAGAACTCATCTTTCAGGCAATTTAGTATTAGACTTGACAACCAAATACTTAAACTTGTAAACTTGTCTAGATTTTTACTCGAAAAAAAATAGAAGTTGATTGATTTATACCAGTTGACACCTGATTTTTTTAAAAAAATTTCCCTGGATAAAGTTAGTTTCACAATGAATTCCATTACAAAAAAATAATAATAAATGTGTATCTATGTAAATTTTTGTTGCTATGCATGTTTTATTCAATGAATACTCAATGAAAATTAGCATATAAGTAACAAATTTTTAAATATTGATCTAAATAAATAAGTTTTATAAAAAGAAAATCAAATCTAAATCGATGATATAACCAGATCATATGTTGATAGTTTGGTTTATCTTTATAGGAGATAAATGAAAGTGAATGAATGATTGAATAAATAGAATTATAATTGATTTTTTTAATATATAAAACGTGATAAGTTGGAACAGATAATTAATAGTACTTTTAATTTAGAGTTGTGGTGATTATCAAAGTTTTTGATTGAGATCATGAATTGATCCATGTTATATTACTATTTCGATAGAACAATGAGAAGATGGAGTTGATCTAGAAAATGTGATGTATTTGCGATTAGATGGTGGGTGGAGGTAGTTGATAGGAAACCTTGAAACCGGGTTTCATGCTAATTAGCACTCGTCAGCAAGGTGTACCTGTAATCTTAAGGGAACTGGTGCTCCCTGGTCACATTGCAACATGGTCAATAGTATTCGATCTGCACTAAATAAGGACTTGGCACGCATGACATTGATCACCGCCCAGTGATCAATCAATTGTGATTACATTACAGTCCTACAGGAGGTCAGTCGCCACCCGGATAGCTCAGTGGTAACGTCTCTGACTGTGAAGCTGGGTGACACGAGATCGAATCCGCCAGAAAGCACCAGTTTCCTCAAGGTTACAGGTACACCTTGCTGACGAGTGCAAAGTAGCACAAAACCTGGGTCCAGGGTTTCCTGTCGACTACTTCCAACAACCATCTAATCTCAATATATAGTGCCTGCGATGTTGAGTCACCTAGACTAGTGGCCACATTGCGACATGGTCGATAGCATTCGATCTGCACTAAATAAGGACTTGACACGCATGACATTGATCACCGCCCAGTGATCAATCAATTGTGATGTATTTACGCTATACATTTCGAACAATCTGATCACACATATACTTGTCAAGGCATTTTTTTATATGAAAATTAATAAAGGTCAATTAAATGAAAGCTCAAGTAAAATAACAAAGGGGAGAGAAAGAATAAGAAATCTTTTTCCACCGTGTCGAAATGTATAGCGCAAATACATCACATTTTTCAGATAAACTTCGTCTTCTCATTGTTCTATCGAAATTTATAAAAGGGACTAATTGCTTTATATTCCTATTGAAAACCTGGAAGTACTGGATGAAAATTTGTGTTATATTGAAATGATCCTTAAAATGCTACATTAGAGATAATATTAACAATAGGTCATGTTATTGATGTGAACAAAGAAACTAAGATGCCATAATAAATAATGGAAGCTTTTTTCGGGAACTCCGCCTGTAGCCCTGTAGGACAGGGTTGGATGGAGAATGCTGGTGAGCGGCCTATGCTCCTTCACGAGGAGTAACAGGCGTAAGTAAGTAAGTGTTTTTTTTGGAGGGGGAGGATGTTATTTCATTTAATTCAAAGTTTGTAAAATACTAACATTTAGTTTTGTCTCTAGGTTATTCTACAAACTATAAGCTTTTGGTTGATGTATGACTTACTGGTATACTCGTTTCTGTTTTAAAACTATTATAACGTAAACATAACCTTTGCTACTTTATTTTTCTAACCTAATTCCCAGTTTTGGATATAATTGTATTTTCCTAATTGTTTGTACGTTATGGTCATGTTAGTCATTTATTTATTCATGTGTCTTTTTGTACTAATCTGAATCGGAGTTGTTAATCGGAATTGAAAATAAATCGAGTGGTGTTCCAGTTGACTCATCTCTCTCTCCCTCTCTCGCTTGTCAACCGATCAGGTGATAGAATAGTTTTCGTCTTTCTACCCAAGACAGTTTGTCTCACTTTAAACTCATGCACTCTAGCCTCAAAGTTAAACCAGTCAGCCTATCGTGTCTAGACCTTAATTTAGATTGAGACATGTTATCTTCTGTATATTAGTCGGTGATATCTCTTTCATACCAATTGTGAATTCTACAGTTACGTAAGCTCATAATTTTTACTGGGTATTATAAGAGTAACCTGGAAAAAACTAAGGTTTGCCAAACCTAAACGTTCATTATTTAATTGACTGTTGGTAGTTGAAGATGACTGCTTGTTTTGGGTCTGCATGATTATCATGAAGAACTGCCGATGCTCGGTGACATTGTTCTGAATTGATAACAGTGATGCGTTCACTCTTTGTATACCCTTAGATTTTGTGTTCATTCTTTCTTTGAAAATCATATTCCCTAAGTTTAGTTTTTTTTAATAGCTAGTGATACCACCACTACATCTACTACCTCGATATTCATCTTGATGATTACATCTTATTGTAACGATGTAGTTCACCAAACTGAATCGATGCACATGTTTTAGTTTATGAACACTGACTAGTTTTTTTGAGCAACTTTTAGGTTAAAAAGTGAATTCTTCACCTTGAGTAGGTAATCACTTTACATATAGCATATTATTAATATCAAAATATTCATTATTGAACCTTAGATTTAGAATTGTAAATCATTTGGGAATAAGTTTAAATTTATTTGGAATTGTTTGTTTGAATTTTCCCATTGATGTTTAAGACTGTAATTGATCAGTCTCTTATTGGTATATATGCATCCTGTGAGGATTGTCTCAATATTACCTTGAGTCACAAGCATTATAAGTAATGATGGATAGTGGCTAGCAGTGGAATCCAGGACGCATGTTTCGTCCTATTTAGGACTCTTAAGCTGGGTGTACCTGCATCCCATAGTTGATGTTCACTTCACGACTCAAATCCAGTACCATTCGCTTCAAGCACCATCACGTTATCTACTTAGCTACTGAGTCCTAATAGCCACTTGTTTGTGCAATGGGGTACACCCAGCTTATAAGTCCCAAATAAGACGAAACGCACGTCCTGGATTCCACCGCTAGCCACTATCCATCATTACTTAGAATGCTTGTGACTCAAGGTAATATTGAGGCAGTCCTCACAGGATACATATATACCAATAAGAGACTGATCAATTACAGTCCTAAACATCAGTGGGAAGATCCAAGCAAACAACATCATTTGGGAATAAGTACAGAACTATGATTAAGATAAAGAAACTAATTTAAACGAAGTGTTTCTACTCTCTATTCATCTTTTCTTCTCTAGAAATCTGAAATTTCCTGCGAGTCATTTGCAAATTTTATAATCGATCTTTTATTTCAAGAACATAATGGTAAATTACCAGATAAAGTAAGTTTACATTGTTTTACCATAGGGCGTTTATAAAGATTGTTGAATTTCATGATTTAAATTAAAGAGACCCATCGAAAACCAGGAGACACTGGGTCAATGTTTTGTCTTAGTAAGAGACTTATCATCAGCGATGATCCATAACCCCACCTTGGATTAGACAAAAGAATTTCGGATCTTTTAGTGGATAGTCAACTTTTAGGCCATAGCTATCTACTGCTTACAGGAGTTCAGGGGATAACGTTTTGACTCTTGAAACCTATAGTACTGGGTTCGAATCTCAATGTGAATACTGAGATTTAGGTAAGGAGTCAACCGTAGAGTTCCAAATAGGATGAAACTTGACGCGTGGATTTTACCGTTGACCGCAGACCAATTATACTAAGACGAATCCCATGAATGTTGTCTACTTTTAGTTAATAACTGGAAACTATACCTCACAGCTTGACTGACTGCTTGAAGGCTAGTCATAAAACTAAATAAAGCAGTTACCAAGATCGTTAGAATACTTGAGCAATCTAGATTAGATGGGAGAATCTATATTTTAAATGATTAATATCAGTGAAATTTATATGTAAAAATCTTTACATATCTGGGCATCATCATTTATGAACAAGGTGGATCTGATACAGATGTGAAAGCGCGGATCGGCAAAACAAGAGCAGTATATTTACAACTGAGGAACATCTGGAACTCAAAGCAACTGTCAACCAACACCAAGGTCAGGATTTTCAATACAAATGTCAAGATAGTTCTACTCTACGGGGCAGAAACCTGGAGAACTACGAAAGCCATCATCCAGAAAATACAGGTGTTTATTAACAGCTGTCTACGCAAAATACTTCAGATCCGTTGGCCGGACACTATTAGCAACAACATACTGTGGGAGAGAACAAACTGGATCCCAGCGGAGGAGGAAATCAGGAAGAAGCGCTGGAAGTGGATAGGACACACATTGAGGAAAGCACCCAACTACGTCACAAGGCAAGTCCTCATATGGAATCCTCAAGTCCAAAGGAGGAGAAGAGGAAGACCAAAGAACACATTACGCCGGGAAATGGAAATAGACATGAGAAAAATGAACAAGAATTGGATGGAATTAGAAAAGAAGGCCCAGGACAGAGTGGGTTGTAGAATGCTGGTCTGCGGCCTATGCTCCGTTGGAAGTAACAGGCGTAAGTAAGTAAGTAAGTAAGTCAACATTTTTAAAGTATATTGCTAGAAACTAGTGAATTCATTTATGAGATATTCCATTATAATATATATTGTTCACATTCAAGAAATCAACTCATTGTTTCACCAAGTTTCCTTGTTCTCTGTTGTTTGTTTGTTTCTTTTTTTCTAATTCACCAGATAAATCTCGATGGTAAGTTCAACTGATCTGAATAAAATTGTCAATGAAGAAGAAACTATTTTATTATACAGTCTGAAAAAGAAAACAACAATAAGTAAACAAAAATAATTAATCTGGTTCACTCTGTTCTCCTTTCTCCTTTCTTTCTTTCTCTTTTTTTTTGTTTTTCTAGTCTGTACTGGATGTAAGATGACAGTGATTGCAGTAAAATTCATATTACAACTTTCACAAGTTACTTACTATATTAACAAATTTATTGATCAATTGTGTATATTCACTGGACCATATTTATCTGAAGTGAGTAAGCTATGAAAATGGACTTATCTAGTAAATCATTATATTTTTGTAGTTATGGCTTTGATCGAGGAGATTTGAAGATTAATTTAATTTGAAAATGGTATTCACCATGAAGTGTCATCAGATGAGGATAATAATATAGATAAAAGAGTACCGGATGGGTGCTTTACCTATTAGGGAGGGCTTCTCAGAAATGTCTCGTAAAGATGAAACTCAGGGCATTTATACCTCTCTATAAGCTGCATACTTTTAGACGAATAACATAGAATACAATAACCGAAATTTCCAATATCAGTCTATTCAATATATATCGTGATGTTATCTTAGCTGATGACAATGAGCGATGAAAAGCGATTGCGTATCAATGATTAGTTGATCAAATAGTTTCTAGAGATATACTTTGTTTATAAAGATAGTTTCATGATAGATTAACTATTCATGAGTGCATACATCAATGTACGCATGGTACCGAGTCAGTCATCTTCAGTCTTACCAACGATTTGGGCAGAATTCAGCTTCTATATTGAAATCAAATAATCTGGTAATTAAATTTGACCATTTCATGATAAGTAACAGTTTGAAGTAAACGCTCTGCAGTCATATCCCTAGTAACTGCATACTTGGATAATCCTTCGACAAGAATTAATGATTTCTTCTAAAAAAAGAACAAGATCTAAGTACACAATAGAGCTGAGAATAATAACGGACATTTACTAATAAGGGAATAATTTATACTTCAGGTGGCAATCATTGTAAGTCAAGTCTGTCTATTTAACTTAATCATTTAAATAAGTGATCTGAAGGTCATCTACTTGTTAATCAACCCAATATTTAAGTACTCATAACTGAAATACTAAATTCAATCGGTTCTCTCGTATTATTTGATTCATATGATAAATTACTTCCAAGTAGTTATCAATGATTGTCAATATTTAGATTCACTATGCATTCTGATAAAAACTACAAACTGACAGTGTTAGAATAGTTGCTCAAGATCATGGATTGATTAAAGTTAAACATTAATACCGTTGGATGCAAACCGGCTCAGTCGTCTAGAGGTTAAGCGTTTGAACGCGAGACCGAAGGTTCTGAGTTCAAGTCCCTTTGGTGAAGAATCATGGATGCTCACTACTGAGGAGTCCATTACTATTACGAAACGACTGTTGTGTGCTTTCAGGTTTTCAATGGTGTTCTAACTTACACCAGCTCATGAATTCAACTACTAAAATTGATTATGTGTATGTTTTTTTGTTGAGTTTATGTATAAGTTTTTATTCATAGGTTATCACAAGTGATTTTGTGGAGATTTCAGTAATTTTATAGTTGAATTCATGAGTAAATTGAACCGTTCGATGCCAGTCGGATCAGTAGTTTAGAAGTTAAGCGTTCGCGAGCGAGACTGACAGGTCCTGTGTTCGAATCTTGCGAGGCAGGATCGTGTATACGAACTGCTGAGGAGTCTCATTCTAGGATGAAACGGCTGTCAGGTTTTCCATGGTGGTCTAGCTTCAACTGACTCATGAATTCAACTTTAAAATTTATAGGTTAATTAATTGATACTTAAAAATTAATATGCTTAATAGAATTCTATATTTAATCGTTGAAATTTTCAGTGTTCATTTGTTGCTCAAAACTATGCTGGTATATTAATAAATTTATTCGAAAATTCAACTGTTCCTATGATCTGTCAGGTAGTTGAGTTGGCGCTATTCTTTTCATACTGTCTTTTAAAACAATATATATACATATATATATATATATATATATATCACATGTTTGTTCAATAACATATGGATGTTTTAAAGCAACTATTGTGATATAATATAAACATCAGAAGGGGTTTTGTGATTATTATAATAATTTTAATAGTTTAGATCATTAGTCATTTGAAGCTAAACCACCATGGAAAACCTGGAAACACTGGACGGCCGTTTCGTCCTACTGTGGGGCTCCCCAGCGACCCGCGTCCACGATCCCACCTCAAGAGATTCGACCCCAGGACCTATCAGTCTCGCGCACGAGCGTTTTGCATGGTAGTCTAGCTTCAACTGACTCATGATCTCAACTATTACAATAATATAAACACTTTATAAAGGATTATTAACTCGATCAACAAATACTTACATAATTGAGTTTTAATAAATAAAATGATTCGTGTTATAGAATATCTAGGTCAAGAATGTAAAGATTAAATCTACATTATTATAGACAACATCTTGTAATGATGGAAATGATTTTGATTTTGATATTGTTAAGTAGTCTAAGCCAAATAATATAATTGTGAAACGTTCATTATCATTCTATACAAGACTATCTTTTATTACCATGTATAAAAGTAAGCTTTTTAAATATCACATATACTAATTTTAATAGTTGAGATTGTGAGTCGATTGAAGCTAGACCACCATGGGAAACCTGGAAGCACTGGACAGCCGTTTTGTCTTATTATGGCACTCCTCAGAAGTGTACACTCACAATCCTGCCTCATGATCTCAATTAATAAAATTAATATGATATTCCACAAAACCCCTTTTGATATTACATATACGTTAGATCAGTCCATTCTAATAGTCTATGAAATTAATCGATCAAAAACAAAGTCATCAGGATAAAGTAATTTAGTGTATAAGATATAATTAGAACGCTAGCTTGTACATTAAGTTAACACTAGTAACATTATCTAGAATGGTAATGGAGGCTTTATAATTAAAACAATTAACTTAGATAACTCATTTACATTTAACATTAACATTAGGAAACATTAATATCTAGTTGATGAGTTTCAAAGTAAGATTAAATATTTCATCTTCAATTAGAATTTTTGTCATAACCCAAGGATATAATAAAACTTTTAGCAACAGAGAATACCGATGGATTCATTATATGATGTAAATAAGCCAACAGAGACTCGTCAAAATTCAGTTTTAAGAATTAACAACAGAAAAACATCAACCCTTACAAATGTTCTAGTCGCTGGGCTTAAGACATACTTTCTGAACATCCACTAAAATGTATAACCAGTCATGTCTGAATCACTAACTATTATCAACGAAGGGATTGATTGATAGTCAGTTTTTACTTTGAGCTAACAGCTTAAGAATTATATCACTGAAAAGTAGATCTCATGACTGAGGTGTTTTCTTTTTTGTTGTATTTTTTTATCTTTAAATCCTATTGGATGAATATTCATTACACCATTATCTTTATAACAAACCTATGACAATCCCCCCTTTCAGTCAAACAAGTTGGTGAAGCCTAGTAAGCCTTTCTGGGAAGAAACAGACCACATCAAAGCACAGTACAACTACCGCGGATAGAATAGCTGTTTTTGCAACCGATTTGAGTTTACCCCATAAGGAGCAACTACGTGCATTACATGCACCACTTTTGTCAGTATTTTGTTGTTTTTCCATCCAAGAGTAATTGTGCTGTGATTCTTTCTGGATTTCGTAATCGGTTTGAGGGTAGCGGTCGAGTGAGTGATTAGCCTTATCTCTACTACCCGGGTTACCGTCCACGTTAGTTCATGGGTCATCCATCCCACTATCCAGGAGGCACAACTCGGACGTGTGAGTCGGGTTTTCCTCCCTACGACAATATTATAATAATATTTCATTTATCATTGAACTGAAGTTTATTTCTAACAGGATTGAAAATTTATTATATAACTTTCTTTCCAGAGATTGATGATATGTTAAAGAATACTTGAGTTGAAATATTGAGGAGGTGAAGAAGAACTCTATTTTACTTCATTGTATTTTTGTCAATAAATAAACTATTGTGAAAGTACCCCTTATTTTATGAAGTACAAAATGTTATGCTTCTATAAGATTAAATGGGTGAGACAATAATATATGATTGACCTTTGAGCGACGCCAGACGTACCTTGAAAGTGTCCACCTAATAACCAGGACCAAATGAGGGTTATAAACCAGTGTGAGGTATTGGAATTATAATTTACAGTTGATGATTAAGCTTAGAAACTAGATTTCGGGTTTTCATCACGAACTGACATCAGCTATAATGCCAAAATTCTATTTAGCCAAATAGATGGGTGAACTCATTGAAATCAAAGACCTGTTATCTTATACATGATTGGTTAAATAATAAGTTAGCGTTGGACTATCTTGTCCTTTAACTATGTTCTAACATGATTATTTTGAACTGACAGTTAGTACAGAGCTGTAAATGGTTGACTTCAATTTGTGGAGGCTGGTACTATGTTAAGCCTATATAGCTTGTTCTAGCTTCCGGACAGATTAGTTTATTCATTTTTCACATTTTGATCTTCTTAATTATTCGATTACCAACCTTGATTGTTTATATAACATTGAGGTATGATCTGATGTGAAAAAACTGACATTGATGGAGGAAAGAGTTAGAATGATCAGTGTTATCTAGAATCGGTTGATCACTGGGCGGTGATCAATGTCATGTATATCAGGTTCTTCTCAGTGTAGATCGAATCCTATCGACCAAGTTACAATATAGCTACCAATCTAGGTGGTTCGACATTGCGTGCACTATGTTGAGATAAGATGGTGGTTGGAGGTAGTCAATATGAAACCATGGACGTAGGTTTCGTGCTACTTGGCACTGGTCAGCAAGGTGAACCTGTAATTTTGAGGGATTTGATACTCCTTGTCGATTCACATAGGTTTGTTTAGTTTAGATGTTTTACTGAGGTTTCTATAAAAACCGCCAATCAATAAGGAATAGAAATGGTACAGTTGACACGTTTGTCTATGATATGTAGGTTATAAAACAGACAAAAGAAATCGTAAGCCTAACCACATAGTTCATGAATGAATATGTACAGAAGCGGGTCTGAAGTTGCATTAGTTCTTGCAAAAATTTATGTTACTCAGACAACTGTTTCTAAGTAGTTTATTTCCACTCTGTAACCTATTAAGACAAGTATCTGATACAATTAATTATCTGATGTATGCTACTTATATCAACATAAGTAGTAAATAACACCAATCAGAAGTGGAATGTCTGGCGACAGGTTAGGAAGGTTGAATCGACGAGAACGGGAACAGAGAGTAATTGTTACAGCAATTAAGGAACGATGAAGTTCGAGACAATTGATGGAAGGTTTGCAAAAGAAGTATTGAACGTATGGTCTTCACATCTGACGAAAGAACTCTGTAATTTTGTATTAAAATACATCGGTTGTCCTCACCTGAGTTCTCGTTCATTACAATTACTGTAACCGATTTTTTAATGTTCACTGGGATTCAAGACTGATGTATAAATTTTGTGTTAACATACGAAAAATATTTCCAACCAAGGTATCGATGACATGACATTCAGCTTTTAAATGATTATTGATCCTGTCATCATTGTATGTACGCTTTATTGATGAGTTGTTGATAGAAAACTTTTTTGGGAGAAATTGGTCTGTATAAATGTTATGCCAATCTATCCATTATCAAACAAGTTAGACTATTCTGTTGAGTTACCTGAGTTTAATTTAATTTATTTATGGTCGCTGTTCATAGATTTTCCTACTATTTTTATAACTGATGCATTATGCTTCATTTGAATCAAACTTCATTGATGTGAACATTTAAGATGCTTTCGTTTGATTGACTCTGAAACATGCTTTCATTCTGGATCGGACAGTTTTATTTCCTTTATGATTCATACCATGAATTTCTTAGTTCGTTCTCTAAAAATACTAGATTACCGGTATTCATAAGTGCAAATATAATTATCGTCCTTCGAGATGCAGTGTGCATCGTTTGGGCAACTTAACTTATCAGGATTTCCACAATACAGCCTCCAGAATATCATCATCGTTTCTCAAACCTTTTGATGTTGAGAAGCAAACTTTCCCTATGGTTCCCGTTTCAACCAAACTTAGTTGGTGAAGGCGGTAGGTCCTTCTGGAGAAGAGGCGTACATTAAACACGGCACAGCTACCGGGGCACAATGGTTGTTCTCGCAGATGGTGTTATGTTTTATGACCTTATTTTCTGTTCAGTGATCGTTGACCATCAATGCACCACGTAGCAATTATTGATTATCTCTTTTCGTGTTGAGGCTGTTTCACTTTGGACAAATTTATTGTTTAGTAAGGCTTCTAGTCTAGCTGTTTATTTATTGGCAATTGGATGTATCGGTTTTGGTCGTTTATTACTTTGCTTATTTGGTGGTCAATCCTTGGATTTCTTTTTATTTAGTTTTATTATGGAGGTTGGAAATTTAGTCTTCTGAATTGACCCCTAGTGACAGACTCATGTAGATGTTAAAGACTAGAATTTATGATTTCCTTTCTGTAACAGTTTTAACAGTTTTTGTGTTTGGAGAAACTCATGATTACCCAACACCAAAGTCTTTATTTCGGTTATTTTTCTCAGTATTATAGTCAAAATTGTTTGAAATATTTACTTTATATAAGTATTGCAGGTTTGACTGAGTTCATTCCAAGGCTGTCTATTCAATATTTCATCAAAGAATTTATACTTGTAAACAAATATATACTGGACGTTCTTCAATACATCACACTTGTACAGTTATGTATTATATACAAAAATGAAAAGAAGAGTTTACGAATTAAATATTTATTTACTTATTCAAAGAAATGTCCCCGAACAGTTTAAACATAATGACGAATATTAACTGAAGTGAAAAACGGTTAACCTAGTTTTGAAAATCGTCTGAAAACCATTCACCTTTTGAATTCTAAAAGAAATGAAATCAAAAATCCGTTTTACGTAGTAAAAATTACAATAAAAAATGTTTGCTACTGATTAAAATATAAGTAGCTTAAAATATTCATTGAAATTTAGGGGCTATCAATATGACGGGTTGCCAAATGAACTGTAAAATATGCTACCTTATTTTGTTTTAATTACTTTTCATGAGATAAATGAAGTTTAACTACAACAAATTGGTGTCCTGTGGTGCGTGCTACTGATTTCGACAGATATGAGTAGAATGGATCACCAATCAAAAGTGAAGTGTTTGGCCGTAGAAGGTTAGGAAGACCAAAGAGAAGAAAAGAGAACGAGAACACAGAATGATTAGTGTGGAAATGTGAGAACAGTGAAATCTGAGACGATTGATTGATATTTTGCAAATGAGGTATTTATTGTATGGTTCTCAGAGTTTACTAACACATTCTGTAATTTTTATGTTCAAATACATTTGGTTGTCCCAGCTTGTGTTCTCATTTACTACAGTCTTTTTTATGAGCTAAACGGGAAAATTATCATACACTGACTGCTTGATATGATTCGATGCGTAGTCAAGAATGTTAAGTGAAGTTAGATAATACTCTCCACTTATAACAGTTCCTCTAAATCTCAACCCTAAATTTCTAAAGGTAATGAATAGAAGGACGACAAAACATTGCATTGTAGCCAATATCAGTTCGTTCTGAAAACCCTTACCCTAATTTGTATCCCAACTCAAAACTTCAGCCTAACACTTATTATCAAACATTAACTTTCTTGCATTATAATTGATATCATTTGGTGACAAAAACCCTATGGGATAATAACCCTAACTCAGAATACTATCCCAAATCACATTATTAAAACCTGACGATTGTTATTTATTACAAAATATAATTTGATGTATCAGATTTAATTATTCCATTCAAAACTGTTAGTGCACTACTATCTTCACGAAGTATATCCTGGAGTTCTTGTGAGAAGTAGTGACCAGTGGAGTTCAACCAGGTCTGTTGTGAGATAGTAACTCACTGAAGACAATGTTGAATGTGTCGCTCAATTTCGTGTATTAGTTGAAGTTAGACATTAACACCGTTGGATGCTGACTGGTTCAGTGATCTAGTGGTTAAGCGCTCGCGCGCGAAACCAGTAAATCCTGGGTTCGAGTCTCGCATGGGGTGAGGTGGTGGATGCGCACTGCTGAGGAGTCACGCAATAGGACGAAACGGCCGTCCATGCTCCCAGGTTTTCCATGGTGGTCTAGCTTCAACTGACTCATGATCTAAACATTGATATTATTTTATTGTTAAATGTTTTGTAATCATTTAGAGGTTTCTGATTGCCTGATTTGTTGTATAACATAATATTTACCGTTTAATGTAAGTGACAGTTGAGTTAAACTTCAGAATGTGATGTTATTAATCCAGCTCAAAGAATAAAACTCCATCAAAAATCATTCATCTGAGCTACAAATCCTCTCCACCATATTATTAATCTTTTCTACAATTACAATTGAAACCCATTAACATAAAGTACAAACAGTATTAAGCTTTTCGAATGATATTTTGTAGTATGTCTAACTTATAGAAGTTTACATGATGGTAGACATTACTAACTATTTAACAGAGATATACTCAAATAATATTTTGGTACGTAAATCATTCAGTTAAGAGGTAATTTTCTCTAGTCCTCAGTGCTAATCAAATTCTTTTGACAGAGTAGCAGTTTTCTTATTAGATTAGGTACATCGACGTAATCAATAGAATCTTATTTTGCTACTAAGGATTACTATAGGGTGGGCGGTTGCCCCCCATTTCATTACATTTAACAAAGTCCTGTTTTCTAGTGGTCTCAAAATTGATAATAAAATATATTATGCACTAATCTATCTTAAACTCCGCCTGGAGTCCCTCCGGGAGCTACTGCCGGTCCCAAGCCCGGATAAAGGAGGAGGGTTGGGCATGGGGTTAGCGCCTCCATCCCATAGAAAACTAACTCGCTAAAAAAACGCCAACCAGAAAAGTAAGTAAGTAAGTAATCTATCTTAACTAGAAGATATTTCGCTAGTGTAATAAGAAGATAACGAAGAATATCAAACTATGGGATTCTATATTAGTGCATTATATATCACATAGTTCTGATAATCTTCATCTTCTTATTACATTATTGAAATTTATAAGGGACTGATTGCTTTAAGTTTTTTAAAAGAAGATTCCTTGTACATACTATTAAAAGGTTACATGAACTTGTCAATCTTAACCAAAATTTATATTCAGAAACTTTCTGGTGATGAATTCAATTTTTTAAGATAGTTTATGTTACATTCTGATAATAAACTAGAAAAAATGATATTGAAAAGCACTGAACATTGAACATATATCTGTTCTAGCCCCCAAGGCCCTGGTGTGGCGAGAGTGGGTAGAGTCAGCCCTCCCTCTCGAAATGCTCTCATAAGACCACGCATATACAGCCACTGTTAGGGAAGTCCTACTCACTGACTTCTCGTAGTGGGAAGGTTTTTACGAAATGGAGAGGATGAAAAGCGAATGTCTGACACTTTAACCAGGTTGGTGAACACAGAGAGTCCATCTAGGAGAGATGGAAAACCGTGATTTCAAATCAATGGTGTGCATGGGCTCCAGGATCCTGAAGGAAAAATGTCATGTGAACCAGTTGTTGGTCACCGGTATTATGGAACTGCATCTCTGATGTTACTCCACTGCTTTGTGGATCAGACCTTGAGGTCAAATTCTTTGGGTGTGGCCCTAAGAAAATTACCTGCTTCGATTTGGGTACCCGGTCAGTATCACAGCCCTCACACAAATCAAATGAGATTTGTGTGTCGCATATCTATTTGGTGCCCCTTTGTACCGATATCTAAGTGTTCAAATAAATAAATAATAGTAAATAGGGTGGGTGGTTAATAATGACAACCATTTTAGTTTCACATGAGATAAACTTTACGATCTTGATAATTTAAAGATGTTGTCTTTGATTGCCAAATTAAGTGGCTAGGATAAAATTTTATTTGAGACATTAATCATGTTTAAGATTTCGGTTATATCTTCCTGATAAGTATAAATCAGTAAGAAACCTGCATTCAGTGGACCTTTTTCGATTGTGGCCAATCATATAACAATAGAGTTCAGTCTGTTAGTTACTCCACTAAATACATTTTATAAAGACAGATCTTTTCAGCTAACATCGTCTTAGCAAGGTTTCCTTTAAGAGATGGACAGAGCTCCTAACACTTTAACCACTGACCTGCATTGGATGGTTTACATATTTGACTTCAATCACATTCTTCAACAAAACAACTGTCCAATACTTCATGGTTTTCAATGGTTGATCAATTAAGATCAGTCAGTGGTGTAAACTATGAGATCTTGTGTATACTTACTGCAGTCAAAATGTTGTGAAGACCGTGAAAGCACTAGGATACACTTTATCCAATCAGTATCGAGTTTTTTAGAAACATCTAGAAAGTGAAGAATCGTGTGTCACATTTCTGACTGGATGATTACCTGTCCTGCTACTATGTTTACTAGGGTTCTAGAACCTTCCAGAAGCCCAAGGCTGTTTGAAATGCTACAAATACCCTCAATTTTCTGTGCCTAAACTAACCTTAGAGTAAAGGTTTCTTTCTAAATTTCGCGCCTTTTCCTTCGTGTTTAAGTTGTCGTGTAGATTAAACCTATGGTTATAAGAAGAGCTTAGGAAACTGATTCAAGCGTTCACAAGTGTGCAAATAACTGTTCAATGAATACAGCAATAGTTTGTCACTATTTTGTTTTTAAAAGGTAGTTAACAATAAAAAAGGCATATTATAAACAAAGAAAAACGTTAACTTATTGCTTCAATGTTCAATGCGCTTACTTTATAAATAACTTTGATGAGACCGACAGCAGATTTCTCGAAAGCTTTTATACACTAAATTGACAAAACATGAATGAAGAGATAAATTTATCAATTCAATGACCAAAGTTAGAAATATGAACTATCGAATTCTGTGTTACTGGTCTACAGTTAAAGTACATACAATTACTTTGATATCATGTATGGTGGTGGATAGACTCTACTAAAGTTTAAGATGACAATAAAAATCAGTTCAATTGTTCATGGTTTTCACTTACTTACTTAGGCCTGTTACCCCTCGGGGAGGAGCATAGGCCGCTGAGGGTTTTCAGAAGCTCTTAAAATGTTGTTAATTAAGATCATGAACCGATTGATGTTAGACCGTCATCGTAAACCTGGAAGCACTGGATGATCGTTTCGTCCTAGTATGGGACTCCACAGCAGTGCGCGGGATTCAAACCCAGGATTTTCAGTCTTGTGCGCAAAAAATCTATCACCAATTTATGGTAAATACTTGGATATTAAATGCAGAGATTTCTGATGACTTAGATACGATCTTGATTGTAGTAAATGTCAAATCAAGTAGTTATTTTAAGTCAGATAACTGTGTATAGGAAGAGGAAGGTATTTGTATAACTAAGGAAATTCATGATAATCTTTGTTATATAAATCCACATTAAGTAATTCATCATCAGTTAGTCCACAAAATTTAACTAATTATGTTTGAATATAAGATTCCATTACAAATTAACATAACCTAGGAGATTATCGGAAATTAGATAAGGTTGGACAGCTGTTCGGTTTCAATTAGAAATTCTTACACAATCTGTATTTATAATCCTGTACAGAACCAAACTCCATCATATTGCTTATGATACCTTCAAGTTAACAGGTTGGTAGTCAACAGTTCACACTTTAATGGGACATGATTCTCATCTATATTAGACTGACAAACAACTATAAAGTATATTAATTCATTTTTGGATTGGTTGTTTGAGTCTTCCCCTTGATGTTTAGGATTGCAATTGATCAGTTTCTTATTAGGCATATGTGGTTCCTGTACGGATTGCCTCAATATTACCACTAATTTACATGTATTATAAGCAGAGATGAATGATAGTTAGCAGTGGAATTCAGATTTTGAAGTTGTATGTTATTCATCACGACACGAACACCTGTTACTCCTCGTGAAGGAGCATAAGCCGCTCACCAGCATTCTCCATCCAACCCTGCACTGGGCAATCCTTTTCAGCTCTTTCCAGTTGTTATTCATCCTTTTCATATCTGCTTCTATTTCTCGACGTAATGTGTTCCTTGGTCTTCCTCTTTTCCGCTTCCCTTCAGGATTCCAAGTTAGGGCTTGTCTCGTGGTGCAATTTGACGATTTGCGTAATGTATGTCCTATCCATTTCCATAATCTTTTCCTAATTTCTTCTTCAGCTGGAAGCTGATTTGTTCTCTCCTACAAAAGGCTGTTGCTGATGGTATCCGGCCAATGGATGTTGAGTATCTTGCGTAAACAGCTATTTATAAATACTTGTACTTTCTTGATTGTGGTTGTTGTAGTTCTCCAAGTTTCAGCTCCATACAGTAGAACTGCCTTGACGTTGGTATTGAAAATTCTCACTTTGATATTGGTTGAAAGTTGTTTTGAGTTCCATATGTTCTTCAATTGAAGGAATGCCACCCTTACTTTGCCAATCCTCGCCTTTACGTCTGCATCTGAACCTCCTTCTTCATCGATGATGCTTCCTAGGTATGTGAAGGATTCTACATCTTACAGAGTTTCGCCATCAAGAGTGATTGGATTGCTGTTCTGCGTGTTGTATTTGAGGACCTTGGTTTTCCCTTTGTGTATGCTGAGGCCTACTGATGCAGAGACTGCTGCTAAACTGGCTGTCTTCATCTGCATCTGTTTGTGTGTACGTGATAGGAGGGCTAAGTCATCTGCGAAGTCCAAATCGTCTAATTGATTTTGAGCTGTCCATTGTATTCCGTTTTTTCCTTCAGATATCGAGGTCCTCATAATCCAGTCGACCACCAGAAGAAAGAGGAAGGGAGAGAGTAAACAGCCTTGTCTGACTCCGGTCCTTACTTGGAATGCATCTGTCAGGTGTCCTCTATGCACGACCTTGCACTGTAGTCTGTCGTATGAATTCCGGATAATGTTGACAATCTTCTCAGGAACTCCGTAGTGTCGAAGAAGTTTCCATAACGTCCTCCTATCTACACTGTCAAATGCCTTTTCATAATCAATGAAGTTGATGTATAGTGACGAGTTCCACTTAACTGATTGTTCGACGATGATCCGTAGTGTTGCAATTTGGTCTGTGCACGACTGATCCCTACGGAATCTAGCTTGTTGATCTCGAAGTTGGGCGTCTACTGCTTCTTTCATCCGGTTCAGCAACACTCTGTTAAAGACTTTCCCTGATACTGACAGTAGTGTAATGCCTCTGTAGTTTTCACATTTGCTCAGATCTTTCTTTGGAATCTTGATGAGGTGTCCTTCTTTCCAGTCCATTGGCACTTGTTCCTCCTCCCAAATCTTTTTGAATAGAAGGTAAAGCATGCTTGTGGTTACTTTGACGTCTGATTTCAGTGCTTCAGCTGGTATGTTGTCGGGTCCTGCTGCTTTCCCGTTCTTGATTTGTCTGACGGGCATTCTGATTTCTTCCGTCGTTGGTGGATTGACATCTATAGGAAGATCTGTGTGTGCTGTTTCGATGTCCGGTGGATTCATTGGAGCTGGCCTATTCAGGAGTTTCTCCAAATACTCTACCCATCTGCTCCGCTGTTGTTGAGTTTCAGTGATGGGCTTGCCTTCTTTGTCTTTGACCGGTCTCTCTGGTTTACTGTATTTCCCTGCTGGTTTCTTCGTTGCATCGTAAAGCTGTTTCATATTTCCTTTTCTAGCAGCCTTTTCCGCCGTTGTTGCTAGTTCTCCCACGTATTTCTGTTTATCAGCTCTAATGCTCCTCTTCACTTGCTTGTTTGCTTCTATGTATTCAGCTTGTGCTTGGACTTTCTCTGCTAGTGTTCGGCTGTTGTTAATTGCTGTCTTCTTGTTCTTCCTTTCTTTGATCTTGTCCAGTGTTTCTATAGAGAGACATTCCTTATGATGGTGTTTCTTTAGGCCCAGAAACTTTTGACACGTTGGAGTTAATGCTTCCTTGATGCCTTTCCAGTTGTCCTCCATAGTAGTTTCTTCTTCCTTCAGTAGATCTTGTAAGGCTTGGAACCTGTTGTTGAGAGCTATCTTGAATTCATTGAGTTTGTCAGTATCTCGAAGGAAGGCTGTATTGAATCTTTGTAGTGCTGTTTGTCCAGTTGTCCAGTTCTTATTTAGCTTCAGTTTTAAATTGGCTACAACTAGGTGGTGATCTGAAGCTACGTCAGCACCTCTCCTGGTTCTCACATCTTCCATTGTCCTTCGGAATTTTTGGTTGATGCAAATATGATCTATCTGGCTCTCTGTAGTGTGGTCCGGTGAGATCCATGTAGCCTTGTGTATACGCTTGTGTGGAAATATTGTGCCTCCTATGACCAATTTGTTGAATGCACACAGGTTTGCAAATCTTTCTCCATTTTCGTTTCTCTTTCCCATTCAGCCCATGTTGTCCCATGATATCTTCATATCCGGTGTTTTCTATTCCGACTTTGGCGTTTAGATCTCCCATCAGAATGGCGAGGTCCTATCTTGGGTACTTCTCTATGATTGATTGCAGCCTATCGTAGAACTGATCTTTTTCGTCGTCACTGTTATCATTGGTGGGTGCATAACATTGGATAATATTCATTGTGATCCCCTCCTTCTTTGTTTTGAATGATGCTTTGATGATTCTGGATCCGTGAGATCCCCATCTACAGGTGCATTTCGTGCTACTTTGGACAGCATTAGAGTAACTCCCTGAGTGTGCGGAGCATTTTACTCTTTGTCACCAGAGTATAGCAACATCTCTCCTGTATCTAGCCTTTGTTGTCCAGCTTGAGTCCAATTGGTTTCTCTGATTTCCTGTACTGCCGAATTGTATCTCCTCATTTCCGTTGCTATTTGACTGGTCTTTCTGGTCTCCAACATTGTCCGGAAGTTCCATGTACCTATAAAAGTTGTTACTATGATTGCTAGAAGGGGGATTCGTTTCGTGGCTTCCGAAGGAACTCGGCTTTCATCATGAATCGTCATAGTTCTTCTAAATGAAGACCTTCTGACTCCCAGGCCAGAGTGTAAACGGTTTGAATCAATTTTTTTGGCTACTGCTTTTTTTAGCGGGATGGGGTCGCTAACCGCATGCCCAAACCTCGTCCTTTACCCAAGCTTGGGACCGGCAGTAACTCTAGAAGAGCTACAGGTAGAGTTTTGTGTGTTATTGCTTCCAATAATTCCACAGTAACATATACACTCCTGGATAATTCAGTTATCACTAAATGAACATTGTGTTTTGTTTAAACTGAGAAATTGTAGTTGTTAATATCTAATAGATTCATATTCAATCAATTTTAATATCAAATCATATCACCAAATAATAAACTATACGGTTATTAGGCAAAGATAAATAGTAGCTAGCAGTGGAATCCAGGATGTGGGTTTCGTCCTATTTTGGGAATCGTCAGGTGGATGTACCTGAATCTTAGAGTTGATGTTAATGCTTTACAAAAAATACGTACTGAAATACATTTTATGACAGAAGTTACAAGAGAGCAAGAACACAAAAAACACCCCGACTAACCTTTTGATCAGAAGAACAAAGTTTTGTAGCTGATTGTTCAATAAACTCTGGTGTAATAATTGACTCTATATCTTCTTTCAATATGCTTAGTGTTTTCATCAACAGATTGGTATCTGTTAAAAACAATGAAATTAAAGGTGAATGGAGCTAATCAGAGTTTTATCTTCCAACTTTATATTACACGTTTAAGTTATTGACTGACATAAAAAAGAGAACACTTGATATTTCACACTAGTGGTACAGACATGGTCAATAATTGACCTGTCGGCTAGAGATAGGTATCCACTTCAGACAATGACTGAAGGGTTGCGCGAGACCATGGATCGACTGTGGTTAGACATTAACACCGTTGGATGCCTGCTCAGTGGTCTAAAGGTTAAATGTCTATGCGCGAAACGTCGACTCCTAAATTCAAATATTATAGTCGACATATCTCTCATTGGCTGAATTCACAATATTATTATTATTATTATTAGCTGTCGCAATTTTATGGAAGTTTCCAGAAGCCTATGGTAGATTTTAACCGTATAAATACCATTCGGTTTTATATTTAAACAAATTTCAGAGTAAAAGATTATCCATATTACATCTTGATTTGTATGGGAATCAAAATTTATCTTATCATGAAAGTCGAGAAGGTCAGCATCGCATAAACGGATTACTATAATAGAACGAATATTAGAAAAGTTGGAACTTTTGAAACTATTCATTGGATCATTAGTATTATTATCTATATTTCTATTGTGTGACTAGTAGTTAACCATATTGTTGCATTTCTATATTCCTCTTATTGTAAGCTTCAAGTGAACCAAACAATTGTCGTTATAACTTACTATCCCTTAGTTATTGCTAATTAATTATGTACTGTTTGTTTCGTCCTATACCACTTACGGTATGGTTGTATTTAGAGTATGATTTCGTATTTGACGCACTGAGTGGTCAGACGTTTCAGGTATATCAATGTTTAAGTTTTTATGCATGAATGAACCGAGTATAACAGAGAAATAGTCTGTTTCCTATCTACGTTTTCTGATCGGCTAATGGGTTAGAAGGAGCTGTTTTATTCAATGGAAAAACGGCATTATTTTATATAGTGAACCATTTTATTGTTTGGTTTTGAAAAACGAATCTTCAGAGGAAGATAATACTTCTGTATTAAGCATTACAAAGCTTTAACGGAAAAACATAATCTATGGAGCTGTTGTAGGAAATAAAACTGGTTATTTGTCACCTGACACACTGTGAAATGATTAGAACTGAATAATATGAATCAATGAATTATAAATGGTTGATGAAATGATATTGTATTAACTGTACACCTTTCGAGTTCTCTTTGTCGAGATATTCAGTTCTCAATGGTTTGTACATTTAAATTATTTACCAAGTTTTAGGTGTATGTACTCGACCTACAGCTATACTGTTTGTGTGAAGGTTAGGGATAGTATTTAACTGATAAAAATGTAGTAGATTTGTTGTGCTTTGAACATCCACTTCATTGTCGAAAGTCATGTACACTATCAATACTAAACTATCGCTCCACAGTTTGTTAAATGTTAATAACTTATATATACATACATATAAAGTAACTTACAGAATGAATCATCTAGGCTTGCCATCAATTCTTGTTGAACTGTTTCACAAAGTCCAAGATACTTCAAGAAGTGTGTACCGAAAAAAACAACACACAAGTTACATATTTTCAATAACAGTTTAAAGATGATTTTGTCTAGCTAAAATTAATTTTCAATGTATACAGTAGACTGATCGATTTCCACTCCTCACTCATGCTTTTTACGGATAATCATTCATATATTGATGACTAACTCTGATTGGAATTCCTGGATTTTCAATAAGATGTGATCAATGGAGTTTAATCATATCAGATGTAATGCGGCGAGATTATAATTTATGGGAGAACCAATCAGATTTAAGATGACAGGTCTTGGGTTTTGGAGCGAAATTCAACCCCCCATTTGACCAAATAGCGTTTTGACATTTTAGCTGATGTCAGTTCGTGATGAAAAACCGTAAATCTAATTCCTAACCCTGACCATCAACTGTGAATCATAATCCTTATTCTTCAAACTGCTTTATGACCCCCATTTAGCCCCACTAAGTAGGCAGACACTTTCAAGGTCACTTTGGCGTCGCTCAATGGTTTATATCAAATCAGTCTGTGATATAAATTACGTCACAGCATAATTTCTACCGATTAATATCTTGAACACAATAATAAGAAACACATTACTTGGCTACTTCCAGTCTATTACATAACTTTCCAGTCAGCAACTATAAATAATCAAAATCTACAAGAAATTATGTCACTAAAAATCATATTTAGTATAGTGATTGTGACTAGCTACGTGAGGGGATTCTCGGAGTTCTAGTGAGTAGCCGTGACCAGCGGAGCTAATCCGTGTCGGATACAATGACAGATGGTCGCGCAATTTCGTGGATTGATTGAGGTTAAACACTAACACCGCTGAATGCCGGCTCAGTGGTCTAGATGTTTAGTGTTTGTGCGGAAGAATGAGGGCTCTATGTCAGAATCCCGCGAGTGGGCTCGTGGATGTGCATTGCTGAGGAGTTCCACAATAGGACAAAACGACCGTCTAGTGCTTCCAGGTTTTAAATGATGGTCTAACATCAGTCGGTTCATGATCTCAATCAAAAACTTGATAGTCTTCACAACTCTATACTGACATTTAGTATAGTTATATAATCCTATATTTTATAATATCAAAAAATAAAAAAAATTTATTGATTAATTATAAAGATTTACAATACAAACTTTTTTCTTTAACCAAAAACTTACTTGACATGGTTCATAAACACTCATGTTTACAACAAAATCATGAACTATTCCATCAAATGGTCCTTTAAAGAAACGTTTACACTGAATATAACAGTAAATGTAAAAATTAGGTTAATTTATGTTAATACGTTTTAATAAATTGTGAGATATTTCAATTCTATATTATAAGATATCATGAGGATAAAGGTTTGTTCCATTGATAGGTACTTATATACTTTAATAGTTGAATTCAGGAGTCGACATAGGCTAGACCGCTATTGAAAAGCTGGAAGCACTTGACGTCCGTTTCTTAATACTATGGGACTCTTCAGCAGTGTGCTCTCATAACCTTGCACCAAAAAGACTCGAAACCAGGACCTTAGACCTCGCGCGCAAACGCCTAACCTCTAGACCGCTGAGTGGGCGTACGATGTTGTTATTGTCTAACTTCAACCGATTCACAATATTAAGCGACTGTTCTCCATTGTGTTCAGTGAGTAACTGCCTCACATCAGGTACGGGTGAACTCCAGTGCTTCCAAGTTTTCAGTAGTGGTCTAACATTGATCAATTCATGATCTCAATCACGTTTTTAATTAGTCTTAAATTTTACTGTAATAAAAATCACTTATCAGAGTTTTCATCTCTAGCCATGCTTGTCATTATCTACCGACAGACATCATATAAAGGAGGTTGTTGAATTTCTGACTGTCATATTTCAATATCATAACTTGTCAATTTGATCTAATGTCAAAATACATCATGTTTTTTAATTGCGTTCCTCTAGTCTTTAAAGGTGATCGAATTCTATCGACTAGCACTAAAAACAAGGCTAACATAATAATGAATACAACACAGTAATTAACTAACATGAATCCATTTTCGAATGTCGTTTAACTTTGGTAAATGGTTATTTAGTTTGTGAGGATTATAGATGAGAAATAGGATTTTAATGGGTTGGTAATAAAGAAATACGCTAGAAACAGGAAGAATGTACAGAAATGCTAATTTTTAACAGTATAACCTTCCAAAATACATGAATCTTGAGCAAGAACCTGGAAGATTTCTAGTCTCACAAGTGAATACTTGAATTTGGTAACTCGATGTTTAACTAAGAAAGATGATTGAATAACCATGAATGAAAGTTCACATAGAAGTTTACTGGAAATTAGTGATCAATATGTATTATTCCGCTTACTATATAAAAAAGCACTAGAAAAACAATAACTTCCTCTAAATCTATAACAGTCAATGTTTAACACTGTAATTTGATTATATCGTGTATACCACAGGCTTTATGGTATGTGCTATTGATGTCGACAGATATAAGTAGTATGTATCATCAGTCGAAAGTGAAATGTCTGGCGACAGAAGGCTAAGAAGATCAAAGAGAAGGGAAGAAAAAGACAACAGACAGTGATTCACGTGGAAACGAAGAAACAATGACGTCTGAGACGATTGACTGATATTTTGCAAATGAAGTATATACTGTATGGTGCTCAGATTTTACTAACACATTCTGTAATTGTGTGTTCAAATATATTCGACTGTCCGTCACTGGTGTTCTCGTTCATAACAACTTTACTGACGTAAGTTGTAACCATGTAATCCACATAGACATGAATTATTTAGGTTGACGGATATTATTTAGTAAAGAACAAAATGAACGGTTGAAGTTTAGTTTTTTAATTCTCTCTTAGAAAATTCGATGAGACTATAATTTATAGACAACCTTAGAACGACGCTAAAGTAACCTTGACTGTCCACCTAATAATTAGGACCAAATGTGGGTTATAAACCTGTGCGAGGAACTAGAATTAAGATCTACAGTTGATGATTATGGTTAAGAATTAGATTTCAGGTTTTCATCACGAACTGACATCAACTATAATGCCAAAATTTTATTTAACCAAATGAATGAGTAAATTTCGCACCGAAATCCGAGACCTGTTATCTTAAATCTGATTGGTTCGTCCATAAATTATAGTCTCGCGGAGAATTCACTCACATAACTTCAACACAGAAAAGAAATCTGCGATATTTTAAATCATTATGATTTACATTGAAAATAGTTGTATAGATAAAGTATAAAACCTACTTGAGCACGAGGTTGTTTATATGGAAGAAAATTACACATTACAGATAATAGTTCAGCTGCAATCTTTCGTGCATAACTTTGCAAAAGTAACCATCGAATACCACGAACATTCATAACACAAGTTTCACAAACTTGGAAGAAAAAAAATATACAAGAGAATAAAGTACAGTATCATCTCTGAAACAATCTTAACAATCAGAAGGGGTTTGTGGAGATTTTTAGAAATTTTCATAGATTGAAATCATGAGTCAGTTGAAGCTAGACCACCATTGAAGACCTGGAAGCACTGGACGGCCGTTTCGTCCCAGCATGGGACTCCTCAGCAGTGCGCATCCACGATCCCGCACCACGCGGGGCTCGGACCCAGGACCTCCTGGCTTCGCGAGCGAGCACTTAACCAGTAGCCGGCATCCAACAGTGTTAATGTCTAACTTCAACCAATCCACGAAGTTGCGCCACCATATACCATTGTCTTCAGTGAGCTGATATCTCACAACAGACCTGGTTGTACTCCACTGGTAACGGCTTCCTACTAGAACTCCAGGAGTATCTCTTGAAGTCAGTCACTAGTGAGCAGATGATTATTATCAGAAGGGGTTTGTGGAGATTTTTAGAAATTTTCACAGATTGAAATCATTTGTAATTCTGATATGATGGGGATGATCTGTATTTAACGTTAATTCCATTTTAATTCAATGTGATGATTGCTTAGTATAGTATTTGCTTCTGTTTCCCAGAGTAACATTTTATTCTGTATAATATACGATATACTTGTATTAAGTTAATATGAACTATACTCAGCATATTGAGATGGTAGAGAAGAGTTGTAGCTTAGGTGGATGATTTTAATGGAGTTTTATTCTCTGAGATGGATAGTCTGGTCATGGAGATTTCATCGTTCTTCTGAAGGACATCATCAGCACATACTTCAGGTAGATCATGATATCGTTTAGAATAACGATGAATGCTCTACGACCAAACTATCCAGCTCAAAAAACAAAACTCCATCATACTCAGCATATGATTTAACTCGAAGTATTTTTTTCATATATGTGATTTCATCCTAATTATTAATAAAAAATGGGTGTATGAATCAATATATGGATGAGTGTAGTTCCAACTAGACTTGTCGTGGTTGTGTTGTGATTCTGGCTGCTTGTGGAATATATTTCCCTCTTCCGAACTTGGACTTCTCTCTCTAGTAAGCTGGGCTGGGATGCGTCGAAATTGATAGCTTATATGTCATTATGTCACAGAGTCTTCGTTCTGTTCTCAGATTAGGTGAACTCGTAATCGCTTCAAACATGGCATATTCTTAGTAATATACAAAATGTTAATTAGAAGAAGGATGTCTTTATTTTTCAGTAAAGTTTTCGACTAATAGCCCATTGTTATAATATATGATTTATAGATCAATTAAACTTGGCTTTGATTAATCACTAATTTAGTGTTGAATATAAGCTAGTTATAATGTAGTGAAGAAGACTTTTAGCTCAAATGGATACGTTCGATGTTGTTGACCTCATTGAGCTAAACTGTTTAGTTATGAAGCTTTCATTGTCGTTCAGGACAACGTAAACATAGTTTACCCCTCAAATAGAAGCAAACTTCTTAAATTAGAGAAATCAACAACGTCACTAGCTGGTTCTATTTTGTAGATACCAATAGTAATTATAATTTCGGTTTAGTTTATAAGCAAATATATCGAAACCTATTGTCTATCATAACATATTACGTCGGGAAATAGAAGCAGATATGAAAAGGATGAATAACAACTGGAAAGAACTGGAAAGGATTGCCCAGGACAGTGTTTGATGGAAAGTGCTGGTAAGAGGCCTATGCTCCTCCACAAGGAGTAACAGGAGTAAGTAAGTAAGTAAATAAGTAAGTACTGTCTATCATAAGTTTCAATCAATCAAAATCTTAATAACTCACTTAATTGGCATTCCAATTGTTCAAAATCATTTACAGAACTCTGAAATTCAAATAAAACTTTAAATGAGCTTTGAATAATACCTGTTGATTTTCATGATGTTTCCATGGAGATTATTGATCAAATAAGCCTAAGTGATTATGATCAATATATTCACAGTTAATTTTGTGAATGATATTATGATTTTATTCCTTTTTCTAAGAGTGAATTTTTTCCTTAGGGAGTATTTCTAAAGTTAGGAATCAATGTTACATCAAAGAATTAAAATGATAGAGAATAAGGATATCCGTGGTGTTGTGTTCTGCAATCTAATGCATCGAGTTTAAAGTATATAACACTTCCAGAAATAATTCAGATATTCTGTAATAATAATACTCATTTACATATTTAATAGGACTGAATGTATCCAATAATTTTGTTAGTTGTTCCAGCCCCCAAATGCCCTGGTATGGCCGAGAGTGGGTAGAGTCAGCCCTCCCTCTCGAAATGCTCCCACATGGACACGCATATACAGCCACTGTCAGGGAAGTCCTACTCACTGACTTCTCGTAGTGGGAAGGTTGTTTACGAAATTGAGAGGATGAAAAGCGAATGTTTGGCACTTTAACCAGGTTGGTGAACACAGAGAGTCCACCTAGAGGAGTTGGAAATCCATGATTCAAAATCAGTGGTGAACATGAGCTGCAGTATCCTGAAGGAACAAATGGTGTATGAACCAACTGTTCGTCACCGGCCTCCATGAGACTGGATTTCCTGACGTTACTGCACTGCCTTGTGGATCAGACGTTTAGATCAAAATGTTGGGGTGTGGCCCCCTAAGAAGACCGCCTGTTTCGATTTGGGCACCCGAGTGGTATCACAGCCCTCACACAAATCAAATGAGATTTGTTAAGCGCATATCTATTTGGTGCCTTATTGTACTAATGTTTATGTGTTTAGAAAAAATGTCCTACTCCTGATTGATCTGAACCTACTATTTAACCAAAAAAAGTCTTTGAATCGCTGAATGAATACATGACTTTCGATTCGCTTATTCAACAATTCATATTTCTAACTCATAACATATATATGTAGTTCATAACAATCATACGATACTGTCAACAGCTAATCGTAGATCTCAGAATTTATAATCAAACACCAAAAACTACATAAAAATTTTTTGAAGAGAATAATATCATTGTTATACATAACAATACATACCTCAATAGGTTCTCCGTAAATTGTATTCTTCAAACCTAAATAATTATTATTGGATGGTACAAAACAAACACACAACAAAAACAAAACATTAACCATCTTACCAAGTAAAGATATTAAGAGAAAGATTTTAGCGAACATTATCCCAACAGTATGTTTACTCAGAAACTCCAAGTATCTATCTATCTATAATAGTTCAACTAGTAATCACAAACAGTTGTTTAAATCTTTTTATCTTAAATAAATAGACCGGACTAATCATTTAGTTGCATAGAACAAATAATACTTGAAATAATAGTAATAATAATATTAGTAGCAATAATGATAATAATACTAATAATAGTAATAACGATTGAAATACTTTGATCTAAGAACTTCTGTTGTTATCTATCTTGAACAGTTTCAAAAAACAAAATTATTTAAGCCTCCTCTTTGTGTATCAAAGTTCACATGTACATGATTATATGATAGATAATCTATGGTATTCTTTTATAAAACTATTGAATAACTATGATTTATGTCAGTTTATAGTGAATTAAACGAACTGGTCAATATCAGAAGGGGTTTTTGTGGATATTCTAGTTATTTTAATAGTTGAGATCATGAGCCAATTGAAGTTAGATCACCATGAAAAACCTGGAAGCACTGGACGGCCGTTTCGTCCTACTGTAGGACTCCTTAGCAGTGTGCATTTACGATACCGCTTCGCGAGATTCAAACCCAGGACGTATCAGTCTCACACGCCAGCGCTTAACCATTAGAAAATCTGAGAAGAATTTTTAATTAGTGTTAAACTTGAACAAAAGGTATGAAAAGAGAAAAAAAGTCAAATCATATCTTGATTAAAGTTAATTGACATAAAGATCTAAAGCAAGGCATTGTTTTAGTTAATACTTGCTAGCATGAAATAATTGTAATGTTTTAACGTTTTAATATTGAAGACAGTGATGGAATCTCGTCGATTGGTTGAAGTTAGACATCAACACCGTTTGATGCTGGCTCAGTGGTCTGGAGGTGCTCGCGGGTCCTGGGTTCGAATCTGGCGAGGCGGGATCATGAATGCCCACTGCTGAAGAGTCCCACAATAGGACGAAACGGCCATCAAGTGCTTCCACGTTTTCCATGGTGGTCTAGCTTCAATTAACTCATGATCTCAACTACTGAAATTGGTCAATGTTCTATATATATTACCCTAATTAACTTATTCAGTAGTTTATTCATGTTTACTAATTAATGTAGGAATTGAAATGATAATTTTGAGAATGAGTATTAAGGAAGTGAAATCAACTAGTCGATTTAATAAAGTTTGGTAATGAAATAATAAGATGAGGGTTGTAAGAATTACGTAATATATTTGAGCAATACATTCAGAATAGTTGGATCACATATAATATACTTTTTAAGACATTGTTATATGAAGAATAAAAGGTCAACTAGACAGATTAAACGTAATGATAGAGTACACAAAAACATTGTGAAAATCACTCTGGATAATAAATCAATATTATCAGGGTAGGTCAGGGGTAATAACAAATTGTTTTTGAACACATAAATGGGGTTTCAGTTTCTGTATAACCATCGCTTCAATAAATTTTAGTATGAGCTCTTGAAGACTTTTGTACAAAACTACAAAGGTTGACTTACCAACCAAATGTTTCACAATGGATGAAGTTGTTTGTCTGTCCTGCGATCTTATTTGACCATTGGGAATCATTTGTTTTTGGAGCCATTTAGGCATGTGTTCAGCCAGCCTAACTTGCAGATCATGATTGCTCCTTCTCATGTACGTGTTTCCACACATACATGAAAATTGATGGACACAATGGGATGTGATACAATCGCTAACGTGCTGTTCAGGTTTTGAATGAAACATAAACCTTGGGCTGCATAAAGTTGATGGCTAATTTAAATCACCGTTTCAACATGAGACTATTTGAACTACCTCTAAGTGGTAAAATAATGTAAACTCGCTTTTTGGGTGCCAGAAGAGTCATAGGTCTAATCGTATTACAACCTTCCCAGTGGTTTATGAATGTCAATGGAAAACCACTATTCATTAATGTTTCAGTTAAGAGCTACATCTTTACTTCACTAGTATCGCTAGTACAAATATAATTGATTTTATTGAATAATCCACGTTTGTAATGGATTGGGCAATGATTATGGAAATTAAGATATTACCCTGTCCATATCGGCTTTCTATATATAGAACGTTTGATAGAACCAATCAGCATATCTAGAAAAGGAAGTTGGTTATTCTTCTCTTCTTTGCAAACATGAGAAATATGCTTTTGACTTATGTTAAGTTCTTTTATGTATAATCACTTGTTTTAATTATTTGCCTTCTAGGGAATTTTATATAATCTGAAGGTAACTTCTTTTATCCGGAACTAAGATTAGTTGATAAGTCATTGAAAAACAAGCAAATTTTTAAATGTTAATTTGAACCGTTTTTTTGATGGACTTTTTGTTCTTTGAGCTGGATGATTTGGTCATGGAGCTTTCATCGTTATTCCGAACAACATCATTAGCATAAACTTAAGATAGAAGTGAAGTGTTCGAATTTCTCCATATGCGTTTCACAGCTTGTTCTGTAGACCTCGATGTAGATTGGTTCTTTTTGACCTTAAACCTGAGCTACAAATGTTTTTCATCTCCTAATTTGAACTGTAGGTGTACACTCACAACACACCTAGTGAAAAATCAATTCACTTTATTGCAATTTAATGTTTTTTTTCACGAAGGTAGAATGACTGTTCTTTATTCAATAACCAATGGTTCATCAGTTCCCTCTTCTAACTTAATTAATCCCTTCGTTGGACTTTAGGATATTATATCTTAAAAGTGGGTATTAATAACGACTTGATTATTATTTTAGTAAGATGTTTGTGGAAATTTGTCTTGATATGAAAGTAAATTGTCTAGGATTGGCATCTATTGGTCCATCACGGCTCCATGGCTGAGGCCTTAGAGATGGTGTAACTCTGGGTTGAATTATTATTAGATATGACTTAGAATAGAAGTCAGTGACCGTCCTGATGCAGCTTTTTTTTTCACATTCTTTATAAAAGTAAGAGGAACCCTTTTTACTCAAAGAATTCTTCCTAGTTGTATTCTTTAATTGAAATGTCTCTCCTATTACATATACTATTGATTCACTTAATTTTACTCATTGAAATATTTCGATTGTACTCACTATTCTTTGTCTAGCTCTTCAGAGCTCAGTCGTCTAGAGGTTAAGAGATCACGAGCGAGACCAGAGGTTCCTGGTTCGATTCCCTTTGGTGCTGAACCGTAGATGTGCACTATTGAGGAGTCCCATACTAGGACGAGACGGTCGTTCAGTGCTCCCAGGTTTTCAGTGGTGGTCTAATATTGATCGACTCGTGATCTCAATCAAAAATCGACACAACACTATACTGATATAAATAATTGCAATTGAATATTTTGTTTATTTATTGTACTCCATGTTTACAATCGTATGATGAACGGACTTTTGATTGTTAAAAATAAAAGATATAAATGTTGATTGGTAGATGAAATGCAACAATATGATGTCGGTGAGTGAACGCTTCTCATCAAACCGAATTATTTAAGTAAGCATTCGTATGATTTTAGATGAAAGACAAAACTACCAGTCAGAAAAGTAGTTTATTTTAGACGATAAAATGACATGCTTATATGCCATATACAAGCGTAAAATAAACATGATAATATGTTATAGGCGATAGAGAGAAATCAGTTTTGGTTAAAGTTAGACATTAACTCCGTTGGAGGTTAGGAGCTCGAGCGAGAGACCGAAGGTCTTGGGTTTGGATCCCGCGAGCCGGGGTCGTCGATGTGTATTGCTGAGTTCAATACGAGAACAAAATGGCTGTCGAGTGATTCCACGTTTTCCATGGTGGTCTAAATATAATTGACTCATGAATTCAGTTTTGTCTGACCAATTAAAACCTGATTGTTAGGCCTAATTTTCGGATATCATATGCATTTTATAAACTGTCCAGTTGCAATTTTCATTCTAATCACTTCTCATTATTCTATTTTTATAACTGAAATGATATTTGAGTCCCCCCTCCAAAAAGTTATTTGATTCAATCTGTTGCTGTACGCTCATTGACTTAAATAAACTAATTCACTTAATTTCATTCCTACTACACAGCTGATGGTCATAACCATTTAGTCGGGTTGTCCAATTTGTAAAATCTATGCTATTCTTTCATCTTGGCAAGGTCTCCTAACAGAAAACTTCTTGGATTATCTTGATGACCTAAACGTATGAAAGTTATGCAAACCAAGTCTGTAAACAACTTTCATACTACATCTACGTTTAATATAACTTATTATCGAATATAATCAATCTTTCTAATCATTATAAAAAAAACAGTTTAGTAACCAATAGAACGATGTGTAGTTTCGTCATATCTTTTGAATCTACTTTCAATATATCAATCTCCTATTATGTAACAATTTTATCACTGATACCGACACTTATGTTTTCTACCCTAGGCTTTTGCCAACTTACGTCACCTATTGCGAAGGCCGGATATCCGTCTATCAAAAAAAAGGACGAGTATACTGCGCGGCAGCCCGTCCTGTTTTAATTAACGGCAGCGAAATGCGGCCATTAAGAGTAGAAGATACTTGTGAGCTACTAGTATTTGACCACAGATGTCATAAAAATATTGCTCGCATCTGCTGAGATCACCTGGTAAGTAATAGTGAGGTTCGACGCAGGGTATTAGGGAATGATGGTAAGCCACTTGATGAGGTTGTGAATCTTCATCGACTGAAATGGTTGGGCCACGTGTTACGTATGCCAGAACCACGTTTACTATGACGCACAAAGCTGACTAGTGTTGAAGACGGTTGGAAGAAAGTTAGGGACGGCCAAACCAAAACGTCGCATCAGTCCATGAAGTCACTAACCTCTAGTCTGAGCCATGTTAGTAGATGCAGACTACTTGATTGGGGTTCGCGTGACTGTCGTAACCAATGCTTAGAGACTCTGGTTGACATGGTTCAGAATCGATCACAATGTTGTCGGTGTATACACTCTCCGTCTTCCCTTAAACTAAGAGATTAAAATCACTTCATTTCTTTCTTTATACCAACTAATTCTTTCTCCTGTGCTATATCCTTATTGCAATCTTTCTTCTATATATTACCACCTCTGAAATAACTACTTTTATGAATCCGGTGTCCATCTTGTTGTGTTAATGAGGCATGGCAACTTGAATCGATGCATATGTGTCTGGTCCTACGTTGTAGCTGACTAACTGACTGACGAAATAAGCCCCATGAAATAAGAAAAACAAAAGTAGATTGAAATAATTGTCAATATTATGAAGTGTATTTCCGTCATTTCAAAAGATCTATCTTTCTGTTGTATGAATTCAACAGAATAAAATTTATCTAAGTAGACAAGTCATTATCTGAAATGAAAATACAATAACTTTAAACATACTTAAATTGTAATCAATAGTAATTGATATTTATTATCAGTTTTCATAAATGACATGGAAGATTTGACCAGACATTACAGACGGAACATCCTTATTTGATTTAGGTTCCATGTCAACATGATATACCAGTAAAGCTGAGGAAACTGGTGTTCTAACATCAAAACATGGTATAGTCATTTAGAATAGTAGACACATTACAATTTGATCTACAAAATTCAATTATCATCAACTATTGGACAAACATGACATTTAATTTAAAACTCAGTAACAATACAACTCAGGACGATACAGGTTCAAACTACATAGGAAGGTATCAGTTCCCTCAATGTTGTAGATACGTCTTGTTGATGGGTAAAAAACCGTCACGAAATGTATACCAAAAAAATCATTTCTTGCTGTTTGCTAACAACCACTTATAGTGCTAATAAACTATTATACAGCCGTTTTCAATTACGTTCAAACATCTCAACACCGTACATTCAAGCGCATACTTCTAAGCTTTACTATACTGAATATATCTAGCAGTCACTATCAAAAAACACAGAATAAACCCACGTGGCTTTCATTATTATCTCAACATTAATGTTTACTTGTTATTGAAACTTATTGGCTTGAAAGATTTCTTCTTGAGAATTTAACTCTTTTTCACGTGCGAGTTTGGTATATCTTCAGAATACTTAATAATCTAAGCACTGGAGATTCAGTTTTCATTACACAATATAAAATCAGGAGTTAAATGCCTAGTTCTATGAGAAAGTGTGTTTGGTATTAAAAGGGAATTGGAAAGTAAAACTCAAGCTAATGAGCAAGTATAGGATTTAAGACAGGAAGGATATGGATCAATCATGAATCATCAGATAAATGAACAAATCTTTGTATTACTTACAGGTCATTGTCTTTTGAAAGCTTGGGCATGGAATTGTATTATGACATAATCCAATATGCTACAATTGAATAGAATTGATATATTTTATTATTTCGAAATGTAATTGTTATATCCCAAAGAGAATAATGAATGGTAACTGTTGGGATCCTTTTATGAACTAATACTATACATATATTCTTATAGTATAATTGTTAAGTAGCTAAACTATGCATATTTAGGTTTCTCTTATTAAACGATTTATTTTGACCCATGGACTATGATTATACGATTTACCATTCTTGATTTATACCCAGTTTACTAATTAAAATCTCCCACATTCACAGCCACTTTTTTGGCTAGATCTTGTACAAATGTTGTTTTCTATTTTATGGTACAATGTGGTCTGTTTGGTTTTTATATAAACCCAGTATGTTTGAAATACATGATTCATATCGCGGAGGCTGATATTGGTGTTCTGGACTTAACAGTCAGGGCTAAGTAAGAAGAAGGACTGACAAGGATTCTAGACTAGTCGTACAGGTTTCATGCGTCATTGGTCCCGTTGATAAGTCACTGTTCTCTAATTGGTGGTATCACTACGTTATACATTACGAGAAACCAAGACCACAAGTTATAACACGTTCATCATATGATTGTAAAAATGAAGTGCAATAAATAGACAAGATACTTAATCAGTAAAAGTAATCACTGTTCACTAATTGGCGCCATTGTCACGCACTATATTGATTGAAGCAAGTCCACAAGTTATAATAGTAATCATGTGTTGAAATAAAAAAAAACAGTTGAAAATATGATAAACATTACTGAAATAAAGCTTGTCTCAAGTTCATCAATATAAACATATGTAATAATATAATTTAATGGGACAACATAGTCAGTCAATCAGTGGTATTGAGTGCTGTTAGAGGTATGAGAGCAGTTATCACTTCATGGTTGCCCACCCCAAGAAAAGGTTGTTCTGGAGATAACCGAAAAGGAAATTGGATTAAAGGTGGTCTTAGTGACCTGAGAGAGTGACTGCAGTGATCAAGGGACATCTGCTGGAGGTCGGTCACACACGGTCTTTTTGTGATCAATTTTCGTGTTAGCTCCATACTTGTTGAGACCTTACCAACGGAGACGGATATCCGTGGGATAAAGCGAGATGTGTATTTTCAGGGTCGACCTCTCCTTAACCCACCTCTCCTTGTGAGATGTCAGCATCACTGTCATGCTGGTTGTCTGAAGGAAACATCTTACTACCGTCACAAATCTGTACAATCAGCAGTATGACTTTGCCTTCGGATCTTGAGTTTATTGCTTTTAGTCTCACCACTCTTCGATCGACCTGTCTGATATGGTAGGACCTTGAGGAACAGATGTTCTAGCTAGTATAGCTTGGTTGCTTCATCACGATAAGCAAGCCCGGCCACCACTTCAAGGTAGCAACAACATAGTAAAAAGTTTGGTGCCCAGATTCATAAACAGGAGTAATCTTCCAACTTGCAACTCAGTGGATTTAAACTGATTATTCTAACCAATAAAATCGTTTCTTAAAATAATTAACAAATACGGAACATTAACTACACTTCATTTTACACAGGCTATAGTTATGTATCATCTCTAATCTAACATATAAGAAGAAGAAAATTGTAATACATTCTTCTTTTTCCTACCATAAACAGTGACCCTGAAACATTTTTATCTGCTGTATAATCCTAACTACAATCATCGAATAACTTTATTAATCATTTGATGATTATATATTCTGTTATTTTCATCATAATGATAACAAGCTAGAGATATAAACCACTGGTTACCAACTTGGTGGTTCCCGCGAGACTTAAATATTTCTTGAGTTATATCCTCTGTACTAAGGTTTTGAATGTACATTACTGAAGTAGCCTATACTAGGATAAAACAGCTGTCTAGGTTTTGTTGCTTTTCAATAATAGTCTAATTAAAACCATTGAAAGTTGGTTTCATGGATATGAACAATAAAGAGAGAAAAAAAATTGTTTACTTACAAAACAAAAGTTATTTTCATTAATTTTATTCACCAATTCATGAATTATATCAACTGCACCACCGTCTACAAGATGATAACACTACACCGAATGGAATTAATGTAGATAATGAGACACACACACACATACAAAAAAGAATAAGTTTTAATAATAAAGAATAGTAGTTACATTGAATAATCACTATTAAGTCATAATTGTTAGGATAGTCGGAAAAAGAGACCAATAATTATCATGTTAATTTCAATGGTGTCCTTGGACTTTAAATGTACATTTCCTATTGGTCGATATTTGTTCACTTGTTGAATATTGTACAAAATGTTGTTTCCTATTTTATGGTACGATGTGGTTTGTTTGCTTGGTATATAAATAGAGTATGTTTGAAATACAATGATTCATAACCCAGAGGCTGTGACTTGTGTTCTTGACTCAACTGGCTAGGACAGACAGCGAGGCAGGGCCAGTCAGGGCACTAGGTCGTCCTTACATGTTTACGTGTCCACTGTCACAGATCGCGATAAATAAATACGCTGCGTATCTAAAACCTGCAGTCACACACCCGTTACAACAATAATCAATTTCATGTTTACCCAGTCTAGGGCATTGACTGAATGCTATCCATTAAAAAATGGTAATATGGAGACAGGTTTAAGTTTAAGCATCAGTTGAGCAACAAACCCTTGTTTGATTTGATTTTTGTGTCAAGTTGTCGTTTAGTTAAAAGCTTTATCTACAATCTAAAGGGAAGTAGTATTGCATATGGGGTAGTGAACGTGAATATAAGTGGGAATAATCAAATGTATTTGAACTCTAAGTTACAGAATCCCTTAGTAAAATCTGAGAATCATACAGTAAATAATTCATTTGGAAAATGTCATTCATTTTTTATTGTTCTTTCGTTTCCACATCAATCATTCTTGGTTCTTGTTCTGTTTTATTTTATTTTCTTAACCTTATGCCGCCAGACATTTCATTTTCGATTGGTGATGCATTCTACTTATATCTGTCGACATCAGTAGCACACACCACAGTGCGACTCAAACATCAACCACAATTTATGAGAAAAAGAATAGTTTTGTACGGTAGAATAATTTATTCATGAATTCCAGGTTAAGATTTTGTAGTCTGACTGACTGTTCGTTGTTGTTATTCTTCTTCTTCATAATAAGCTTCAATGTTTTCAGGTCCTATATATTTCGATTAGTGTTCTTTAACGACTAAATTAGTAGTCAACGTTTATGCATCCTAGTAGAGCCAATCCAAAAAAGAGTATATTTCACATCACAGACTAACCTAATTAAGTCGAAAACTGATGACCGTTTCGCCCCAGTATGGGGCTCTCCATTAGTGCATATCCACTACCGGGCAAAGTGTTTAGCCGAAGGATCTTCATGTCTTACAACAAGTGTTTCACCTTTGTAGTTAGAATTTTAAACCATTGAATATTAACTCAGTGATTTAAAGGTGAAGTACCTGAAGTCAGATTTTAGGATTTCGAGTTCGACACACTATGATTGGGTCGTGGGTGTTCACTATTAAGGAATCTCATACTAGAACAAAACAACAGTTCAGTGTTTATTAACTTTCTGCAGTGGCTTAATTAAAGTAAACTCATTACATTAATAATGAAATTCAACAACCCCCTTCAGATTCCTATATAACTAATATTCTCAAATTATTTAATTTTGGGAATTTAACATTATGAAGTGAAGTAAACTTAAAGATGGTGGCGAAGATTTGTAGCTCAGGTGGATGATTTTGATGGAGTTTCGTTCTTTGAGCTGGATGGTTTGGTCATGGAGCTTTCATCGTTCTTCTGAACGACATCATCATCACATACTTCAGGTAGAAGTTTGCTGATGATGTCGTTCAAAAGAACGATGAATGCTCCACAACCAAATCATCCATTTCACACAAAGGAACTCCATCAAAAACTTAAAGATGATTTGTTTATATACCTTAACAATTAGCAAGAAAAAAAATCGATTAAATTAAATTGATTTGATTAAAACATACAATTTTTCGATATTGTAACTTTGGTAACATATAACAAATTGGCATAAAATTCTTAAGTATTTTCGGTATAAATGGTTCATTATCCAGTATGTATTTAGTAGCATTTACTGTTGAAGTACATAGTTCACAAACTAGAAATAAAAAAGGAATATTTATAAAAATGTTTTTAATAGTTTATAAGAAAAATTAAAGTGACTATATGTCAGTCAGTTAGTCAGTCAGTCAGCTACAACGTAGGACCAGGCACATATGCATCGGTTGAAGTTGCCATACCTCATTAACACAACAAGATGGACACCGGATTCATAAAAGTAGTTAATTCAGAGGTGGTAATATATAGAAGAAAGATTGCAATAAGGATATAGCACAGGAGAAAGAATTAGTTGGTATAAAGAAAGATATGAAGTGATTTTAATCTCATAGTTTAAGGGAAAACAGAGAGTGTATACACCAACGCCATTGTGATCGATTCTGAACCATGTCACCAAGAGTCTTCAACCATCGGTTACGACAGTCACGCGAACCCCAATCAAGTAGTCTGCATCTACCAACATGGCTCAGACTAAAGGTTAGTGACTTTATGGACTGATGCGACGTTTTGGTTTGACCGTCCCTAACTTTCTTCCAACCGTCTTCAACACTAGTCAGCTTTGTGCGTCGTAGTAAACGTGGTTCTGGCATACGTAACACGTGACTATTTGTCAAACTAGGTAACATTCGAATTGCTTAACCAAATTAAAATTAAACGCTTTTCTACTACTTATAAGTCAATAGATAATAACCAGAGTATTTTGTAAAATGTTACTTGATATAGTAACAGATTTTTTTAACTAATGATTTTAACAACATTTCAAGCTTTGTAAATTGAAGTAATCTTATTTAACTTGTGTTATAACTCTCAGTTTGCTTCGTCTGACACGAATTAGATGCTAATTTGAATTAGACGAATATCTACACTAGATACCCTCCCAGTGTGGATTCTACAGGATTTCAATACAGCTCAGATCAAGAGCACGTGACTAGCCTGACTAGAACTAAAAACCTACAATAATCACAAGAATATTAAGGGTAAGAGAATATATAACTTATCTAGTGCCTGTTAGACTATCCACTAGTCTGAATTAGCAAACAATCAGTAATTTTGGTCCAAACATCAACTCTACTTTTACAAACGTTCACTTATTTTCAAACTTAATTTTAGTTAAGTGTTCGCGCGCAAGACCGATAGGCCCTGGATTCAAATCCCGCAGGAGGGATCGTAGATGCGCACTGCTGAGGAGTCCCATACTAGGAAAAAGTGGTTATCCATTGCTTCCAGGGATACCATGGTGGTCTAGCTTGACTTAACTCATGAATTCAACTATTAGACCCTAGTTAACATGAAAACCTAAACAAAAGTAAATATAACAAATCTATAAATAATATCTTAATTTATATCTCTTAGTGAATTATTCAAGGAAAGTTAACACTAGATGAATTTCTTGTTCTAGATAAGAATATTATACAAGTATATAACCACAATCCTAGACAAAATCAAACACAAAATTGTTAGGTCTTGTGTTAAGGGCAATAACTTTCGATTAATCAAATGAAATTTGGTTGTTCACTCCTATAACTTCAGTCAATTTATAACACAGAACTAACTTGATGTTACTGTTTCACTCCGAATTTGATAGAATCCATCGGTTATCGCTTCCTACTTGAGTTCCTTGTGATACCTTACGTATAAATGTTTACGCAATCACAAATCAGAATACAAAATTTATTCAATAACTCATGGTTTCTGATCGATAGTAAATTAGATTGTGGAAAATGTTTTCTTTTTATGGAGGAACGTCATTCATTGAGTTCAATTATTACAGTAGTCTATCAACATATCAGTAATAAACAAGTTTAATGAGTCAATCTGATTTAACATCTAATAACATTAAGGTATTTTTTCTTTCATTTATTTGTATACTTAAATACTGTCAGGATTCTCTGAACACTTTCAAGCAAAAGTTGGTTCTTATGCCTTAATTGACAGTTATTTTCATTCAATGGAACCTTGATTATTACTTCAGACATTTAATAAGAAATTTTAATATAATTCTATATTCAATCTAATATAAAGTTAAAATAAGTAGATGATGACTATAAAAATAGGCGATGAATTTATTCTTACGAAAATGACAGTCAGGTGGGTCCGTATTCAAGATGGACATCTAAAAGGAAAATAACAAAAAAAAAGAATAAATTTTAACAAACTTATTGAGTTCCTTTACTTTCTCTGTCTTGATCCGATAACACAACTCAATTTTGTTTATTGCACTACACTACTTATTAATAATCAGTAAACAATTGCATTTTTGAAATTTGTGTTATAGGAACAGAAAATTTTAATCCCAAACAAAGACAATGCCTCCTTTTCATGAACAGACAATACAATAGAGGACAATTGAATTTCTAATATTTTTTTTGAGCACATGATGTGATACATGTTTATTCGTATCAGAAGGGGTTTTGTGGAGATTGTAGTAATTTCAACAGTTGAGATCACGAATCAATTGAAGCTAGACCACCATGGAAAACCCGGAAGCACTGGACGGCCGTTTCGTCTTATTGTGTGACTCCTCAGCAGTGCTCACCTACGACCCCACCTCGCGGGATTCGAATCCAGGACCTATCAGTCTCGCACCAGGCGCTTAACCAACTAGATCAATGAGCCGGCATCCAACGTGTTTATTCGTTGTGTAATACACAAATTATTAATATTTACTGCATTGATCATTGTAATTGCATTCCATCAACCTTGTAACAAGTATTTCCAGTTTTTGTACGTTCCGTAAATCGTTGTTTAAATGCAACAGTTTACATATTTGTGTACTCATATCCCCGACTGTGATTATTGATAGTCATTATTGATTTCGAACGAAACTTCCGGCTTTCATTTGCACTTCCTTGTTTGTAATTAGCTTTTATATTATCATTACAGGAACCCTTTTTCGTTTCAGGTATACAGATAAGTTAATCACGACAAATACTTTATGAGTTGAGATTCATAGACGATCCAAACATAATTTGTAATAATTTGAGACCTTTTTCCTTATGTTTTCGTCAAATAATGACGATACTATATGTAAAGGGGCATCAAGTGAAGGTCAATTTATTTAGACCTCTATGCACAACTTTATTTTTATCAAACTAATCAATGCGACTACGGAATACTAGAAGATTCGTCTACATTATGAAAAAAATGACGATTTTTCAATATGAATGATTTGAACGTACGTCAAACAGATGTACCTCAAGTGAAGACCGTTATCAGACAAGGGCGCTTACTCTATTCCTTTCTCTTCATTCTGGTGGTCGACTGGATTGTGAAAACCTCGACATCTGAAGGAAAACATGGCATAAAATAGACAGCTCAGAACAAATTAGACGATTTAGACTTCGCAGATGACCAAGCCCTCCAATCGCATACATACGAAGAAATGCAGATAAAGACAGCCAGTGTAGAAGCAGTCTCTGCATCAGTAGGCCTCAACATACACAAAGGAAAACCAAGATCCTCAAATAGAACATAGAGAACACCAACCCATTCACACTTGGTAGCGAAACCCCGGAAGATGAGAATTCATCGGAAGCTTCATCGATGAAGAAGGAGGATCAGATGCAGATGTAAAGGTGAGGAATGACAAATCAAGGGTTGCATTCCTACAACTGAACAACATATGGAACTCAAAACAACTTTCAACCAACATCAAAGTCATAATCTTCAATACGAACTTCAAGACTGTCCTATTTTACAGAGCTGACACTTCGAGAACTACTACAACCATCATCAAGAAGCTACATGTATTTATAAATACTTGTCTACACAAGATACTCAACATCCATTGGCTGGATACCATCAGCAACAGCCTTCTGTGGGAGAGAACAAACCAGCTTCCAGTTGAAGGGGAAATTGGGAAACGATGTTGTAAGTGTATAAAACATACATTGTAGAAATCAACAAATTAAACCGCGAGGCAGTCCCTAACTTGAAGTGCTGAAGGCAAACGGAAAAGAGAAAGATCGAGGAACACACTGTGTCGAGGATTTAACGCAAACGTTAAAAGAGTAATACTAGAAAGGATTGCCCAGGACAGAGCTATTTGGACAATCCTGGTTGACGACTGATTCTCTACGAGGAGTAACAGTCTTAATGAAATAATTAAGTGAGCAAATAATATCAACGCACGTGGACAGATGCGGACACACATTCGACTGGAAATGTGTGGAAATCTTGAACAGAGGAAATCCCGAAAACACCAGAGGATTTTTATAAGCTTGGCACTCAGGTCAATCACCAATCAACGAGCACATTGAAATCGGCCCAGTTTATCAGTCAATCAGGAAAATGATGGACAAACATAGAACCAAAAATCATACAATCAAAACAAAGAAGTAAACAATGACAGGTTTAAAGTCAACAAGAACCAGTCAAAATCGAGATCTACTAGACAAACTGTGAACCATATGTGAAGAGATTCGAACATTTCACTTCTACCTAAAGTTTGTGCTGATGATATTGTTCAGATAAACGCTAAAAGCTTCACGATTAAACCATCCAGTTCAGAAAACTTAAACTTCATCAAAATAACTAACATAAACAGAAATAACTTACCTTAGCATATTCTTCACACTTTACACTATTAATCTCTATTAATCAGATTACAAAAAAAGTAAATGACTAAAATGTTTACCATTCGTTACAACAAACATTAAGGTAGAGATTAATAACAACATTCTGTTTTTGTTGCTATCAATTATAATACTGATTGTATCTGAGTGATATAATTTATAATCGAAATCAAACAAACAATCAAATAAACAAATAAGCTGAAAATTTGTACATTGAACAATCTGGATGTAAATTCGATTGATGATCACATATGTAAGTACTAGTAAACAAGTATATCATTAAAGTTAATATTATGATGTGTAATACTTAAGGATTATAATTGGTTTCCATAAGATTTGAGTACAATTAAGTTGGACTTCATCACTTAAAAAAGTCAACACTTCAGGAACAAAGAGTATTTCATGATCAATTTAGTATGAATGTGACTTAGTTTTGACTTGTCTCAAATTATTCTTATATCGGTAGGTTTTTTGTGGATATTATAGTTATTTTAATGGTTGAGATCATAAGTTATTTGAAGATAGAACACCATAAAAAACCTGGAAGCACTGGACGACCGTTTCGTCCTATCGTGGGACTCCTCAGCAGTGCTCATCTACGATACCGCTTCGCGAGATTCGAACCCAGGACCTATCAGTCTCACACACGAGCGCTTAACCACTAGACCGTTGAGCCGGTTGGCATGCAGCGGTGTCTGACTTCAACTAGTCCACGAAATTATTTTGAAAAATGAGTTATGGTTTTCTTTTTTTTAGATTTCATAAATAATATAACAGTAACGTAAACGGAAAAGAGGAAGGTCAAAGAGCACATTTCATCGATAAATAGGAGTAGATATAAAAAGGTTGAGTAACAACTGGAAAGAACAGGAAAGGATTGCCTAAGACAGGGTTGGATGGTGAGTGCTCGTGGGTGGACTATGCTTCTCCACGAGGAGTAACAAGCGTAATCAAAATAAAGTAAAATAAGAAAATAATTACTGTCTATAGCAATATACTACTATTATACGATGATAAAAACTGTAACCGAAATTATACTATTACTTGATTGCACAATCTGTCTACAGGTTATTCATAGACTGGATCATGACGTTATATCTCAGATTCACGACCGAATATAGAGAACCACAATATTGGATAAACAATACTTTATTCGATACAATCATAAGCACCTTAGATTCAATGAGTGCAGAGTAGAAATCGACAGTTTTATTTACTTATTGGAACACATAAGTACTGGTAAAAAAGGGCATCAGTTAGATATGCGCCACACAAGTCACTTGATTTCTGTATGGGCTAGGATATTGTCCGGGTGCTCAGACCGAAGCAGGTGGTTTTCTTGAGGGGCCACACCCGGAGCCTTCAAGCTAAAGTTCTGATCCACAAGGCAGTGGAGCAACGTCAGGAAATTCATTCCCATGGTAGATGGTGACCAACAATAGGTTCATATGCCATTTGTTCCATCAGGATCGTGGGGCCAATGTGCACCATTAGATTGGAATCAGGGTTTTTCAACTCCCCTAGGTGGATTCTCCATATCCACTAACCCATCTAAAGCGCCGGACATTCTCATTTCATCATCTCAATAGCGTGAACAACACCCCCGTTGCAGGAAGGCAGTGAGTAGGACTTCCCTGGCAGTGGCTGTATACCCGTGGACATTTTAGAGCATTTCGAGAGGGAGAGCTGACTCTCCTCACCTTCGGCCGTGCCAGGGCATTTGGTGCAGAAACCGATAGTAACTAAGAAATTACAAAATTGAACAGTCCGTAGTATGTGTCTTCCAGTTCTCACTCAATGATCAATAATATCTTTCTTTCTCTAGCCACATCGATAAAGTGTATGTTGACTATATCCTAAAAGTTCTACAACTTTATCTGCTTTTCCATATTTATCTACTCTATCCAACAACCTTAATCGTTTGACTTATCGTAGTCCTCCTTTGACGAATATAATTAATCTGTCCAACTATAGTATATGAATAAATAACAACATTCTAAACCTTACATTTTTTGTCTTAAGTACCTTTATGAAATTGATTACTCTAACTATTTCTAAATGATCTGTACAGTTATGAACATTCAGTTATTTATACCTTTACTGGAACTCTTTAACCCTATAGTACTGACTGATTTGACTGTTTGCCAAATCTTCACAGTAAGGCTTTTTTTCTTCAGTGAATGTAATCCATAATGTTCTCTGAGTTACTTAAACAGATGCATTATATTTACAATTTGCTAATTCATTGCATATACAGTAATGAATTATGTAATCTTGCTATAACAATTGTTATACTATTTATATAGTAATTTAACTAGAATTAAAATTATTTGGTTACATTCAAGTTTTGAATATCTCAACCATAACTTGACTTGATCTAAAAAAATATTCAACATTTTCAACGATTAGTTTCATAAATCCTTTAGATGCCAGTTGTAACATGCTTTAATTTCTAAGGTAATAATTCATTATAAACTGAAAACAACCAGAGAATGTTCCGAAACCAGGAACGATTGACTATCAGGACTCAGTAGCTAAGTAGATAACATGATGGCGTTTGAAGCTAACAGTATTGTTTTCAAGTCCCCGAGTGAATATCAACTTTGAGATGCAAATATATATCCGGCTGACGAGTCGCATATAGGACGAAACGCGCGTCCTGGATTCCACTGCTAACAACTATTCACCTTCGCTTACAGAGCTTTATCGAGACAATCCTCACAGGATGCACATATGCTGACATGAGATTGATCAATTGCAGTGCTAAATAACAATGGGAAGATACAAGTGAACCAACACCAAGTGAATTGGATATTTCTATTTAGTTTAGACTCTACATCGGTAGGCATCTATTAAATAATCGAATCCAAGTATCTTATATCTTCTTTTTGTAGTGACTCATTCTGTGAGCTAGTTAGCCAAATCGGGAACTTTTCACCTTTCTTTTAAACAAAATCATCAGTACAAACTCTAGATAGAAGTGAGCTATACTGTGGTGTTTGTGCTACTAATGTCGTTCACTACAATATGAATTTCGTTACATTTCACTAACCGTTTGTTTTTTAGGTTTCTAAAATGAAGTACCTAACCAATGCTCTCTGATTTTCCTTAATTCTCCATTTAATATCAGTCCGCAATAGCAAATACCGTAAAGGTTATATAAAGTATTTAATTTATTAAAAACATCATTGTTCAACTGTTGTAACCGACATTTTTTTCAAATATTAACTATTTTCAAAGCATCAGTATAGGGTGGTGGAGATTGTTGAGTTGTGATTGGGATCATGAATCGACCAATATTTGGACCATCTTTGAAAACCTAGAAGCAGTGGACGACCGTCTCGTCCTAGTATGAGACTTCTCAACAGTGCACAACCACGACCCTGCACCTAAGGGATTCAAACGTAGGAACATCGGTCTTTCAAAATAGTTTAGTTCTTTATGTTCATTGACTGAACATCAAACAATAAAAATATAATCAATTTATGGGATTTGATTGCTTGTTTTGTACAAGTTGGTTGCCAATTTTAATGAAATTATGAAGTTTTGGATATTTACTAGTATTCAATATAAAAATAAAGCTTGATCGAACTCGAGCAGGCTAGGTTGTTGACTCGAATATCTATAGCATTTGATATATGCAAGAAATGACTCAAATAGTACCACGAACTATTTACTTTTTGAATCTCAATCAAATGATAAATTAATTCGTTTCTTGTAATCAAAACTCCACCTGAATCCCTTCTAGGATTACTGCCTGACCCAAACTCGAATAAAGAAGAAGGGTTAAGCGCGGGGCTAACAACCCTATCTAATCTAGCTATTCTTGATTTTCTTAATCTTAAATATGGATAACTTGTACCACTGGTCACAATGTAAGCATTAATTATGATATTTCTCAATAAGGACTTCAATTTAAGTAGTAATATAATACGATAAAATATACCCCATCAATAGCTCAATGCAAAACTACAGACAACTTCAGTTTGAATCATCTTGTGTAGACTAACTATACAAAGAAGTAATCAAAGCGCTTAAGACTTGTTTAATCACCTTCTATAATCACTTTTAAATGTTCCCAGTGTATATATTTAAACGCTAACATTAAAAGTGACGACATTTGTAATTATTGATGGGAAGAAAAGTGCAGTTTCAATCAATGTCAGAACTGATGAAATAGTTTAGAAAACCTAGATTAATGTAACCCAATAAACATGTACAATTGTATGTACTCTGCTTTGTGTTGTGACTTTATGTTGTGGCTTTTTATCACGTGATTTATCCACCAATCAAAATACGACTTACACAATCTTAGCACTGTTCCAAATCAATGACATCCGACCGGTATGGGCAACATAGCGTTTTTGTGGCCCGTGGATCTGACTCCAAGATCGTACGAATGATTGTTATCGCCTATTCTCGTATACAATCGTCGACTTAAATCGCGTTAGCCAATAACGGAATTAAATAAGTCGAATAACGAGAATTGACTTGTGAATACATATACCTTGTATATGAAGCGAATGAAACAGAGCAAAGCAAAACGACACACAGGGAAGATGGCTGGGAAGCCAACTCCATTTTAGTCAAGCGTTACTCAATATTTATAGTCAGACAAAATAAAGCTACAGACATGTGATTAGTGGGATAAGAAGGGCACATACATATACGCTCATATAAAAAGTCAAGACTGATAAGCAAATAATTGACAAGGTCAAAATATGACTCAAGTAGAATGAATAGAATGGGATGTTCGAAAGCTAGAATAAGATATATGGGCTTAAAATAATGAACGACACTACAGCGTCCTTATTGGTCCTATGCCCACCTAGCCCGTCCACTTGAGTCCAGAACACCAAATACCAACTTCCACTATGCGAATCATATATTTCAAACGTACTGTGTTTATATATCAAACAAACAGACCCCAACGCACCATAAAATAGGAACGTGGGAGGCAGTAGTTAATAAACTGAGCATAATTTAGGGACATTGAGTCGTACAATAATAAATTATAGGTCAAAATGAAGCTTATAATTAGAGGAATATAAATATGCATGATCTAATTATTGAATAATTATACAATAAGAACATTTATAGAATATTAGTCCATTAATAGTCCACGGAAGTTACACGTAATTTAATCTTCACTAGGATATAACACTTTGAGCCATATATGTGTGAAAGTTAGTGATATAACTTAAGTACTGAAATTGAAGGAGATGAAATCTTATCCAAACCTTTGACCAATACATTGGAAGATAGGTGATTTAGCCAATAATTATCACTTTACTGAAATCGAGCTTAAATTGTTAGGTAGACAAGCAGTATCTCAAATACGTGTACGTGTACATGCTCAATGCATTCAATATGTTGACTATTCATTTAAACGCTTTAGAGATAACCTTCTAAGTAAAGTGATTGGTAATGGTTTGTTTAAATCTTATTTATCCATCAACTTGTGAACAACATACTGATCTTAGTTTCTTGTGAATCTATGTTTTGTAGGTTATTCATTTACTACTTAAATCTTTTAGCAGTGATGAATTATTGGTTTCTTCATTATTTCTTGTTCCATACGTTTGTGTGACGACGGACCACAGGTGAACTCCAGGAAGCTGTAGGAGGCTCACAAGGAGCCGAAGATATTCCATCCAACCATTTTTCGGTAGGATATTCTAGAATTCCTACGTGTAGTTTCCTGATTGGACAAGGCTAATAACCTCCTGTATGCGCATTGGTGGACTGTAATGATGATTTCGTTCTTACTGAAAACTATGAATACCTAACAGTCTTGTACTATAATTGACACTGTTTGGAATAATAATCATTTCATTAGTCTTCTGTCTTGTTATTGCGACTTGGAAGGGTTTTGGTGTTCTAGTGCTCAGTTATACACGGTATATCAAGAAAACGAACTTCAACATATAACGGTTTGGATAAACTGATTTCGCCTTTAAAAATTCCCTTTGTTTAATATTTTCCAAATGTTTGATCTTTTTCAATTAATCCTCAGATAAAGATCGCTATATGGATGAGTTTTGGTTAGAAAAAAAGGTAAAGAATTATTTTATCTAGTGTATTTGATTTAAAGTTACGGGTTTCTGACCGTCTAGACAACCTACATATATGTATCTATAAATTACATAAGTAAATAAAACATTCAACCCTTTTTCACAACCGTTACTGTCATATACTTTTTCAATTTATGAAGCTACACAACAGTTTTAATCAACGTATTTTTCGAAATAAAAACTCTCCCAAACCATTTATCCATTAACTGTCCTTATTTAAATAAAACATTTGAACTTAGCAGTGGAATCTAGGATGCGCGTTTCATCCTATTTGGAACTCGTCAGCTGGATGTACCTGCATCTCAGAGTTGATGTTGACTCTGGAACTAGAACACAGTACCGTTTGCTTCAAATGCGACCGCGTTATCCAATAAGAGACTGATCACTTGCAGTCCTAAACATCAATGAGAAGGTTCGAATAAACAATATCAAGTGAATTTAAACTTCACCCGATTGCACAAGCAAGTGTCTATCAGGACTCAGTAGCTAAGTAGATAATGCGGCGGTGTTTGAAACGAATGGTACTTGATCCGAGTACCAGAGTGAACATCAATTCTGAGATGCAGGTACATCCAGCTGACGAGTCCCAAATAGGATGAAACACTCGTCCTGGATTCCACTGCTAGCCACTATCCATCTTTGCTTGTAGTGCTTGTAAATTAAGGTTATATCGAGACAATCCTCACAGTATGCACATCTGCCAATAAGAGATCGATCAATTGCAGTCCTAAACATCAATGGGAAAATTCAAGTAAACAATACTAAGTGAATTTACGTTTGAACGTATTTCCAATCAAAGCTACCTTAATGAATAATTTTTTTTGTTGAAAAACAAAAAAAAGCGATTTTGAAGTTTTCACATTAAGGAAATAAAATTTTCGAACCTCAGCCAAATGAACAATATCAGGAAGATGTCATGTTTTTTCTAAGTGAAAGGTAGATTCAATTATGTTTAATCGATTAATTCCAAAACTTACTGACGTTTTATTCCCTTTGCAGATCATCAATTGATTTACATGGTTAAAGTGACCTGTGATTGATTAATGTGTGTGAAGACAGATATTACCTAGCTACATTATATATAGTCGACTATCTTGTTTGGTAAGAATTTATTCCTTTCTATTGAATACTCTGTATTATGTCGTAGTTAGCCCATTCAACTATTGTATTACTTATCTGCTCACTATAAGTGAAGATTTATTAGCCCCAATACACTATGACGACGACGAATCATAATGGTCTAAAATACACTCATTTATATATTCATTGTACACCCATTTTGAATAATAATTAGGATTAAATCACATACTCAGTTATAAGAAATCACTTACTGATCATAGTTCATGTCAAGTAAATACAAGAATATGGTTTATTATAGAGAAGAAAATATCATACTGGGAAAACAATCAGATACTACACTGAATGATCATCACATTGAATTAGAAGGGAAGTAATGTTGAACAAAACTCACAATGATCAAATCAATCGAAAATTGACTTTTCTTTCCAAGTAATTCACCGACACCAGTACGGACAAAGTTCGAAAAGCAATTCACATACGAAGTGGGATGTCCTGTGTTTGCCCGTGACTACAGACCAACCCATGGTCCATGGACGGAAGCGCGAGTGGTTAGAAGAGTTGGCCGAGTCATGTACGAAGTTGTGGTAGGCAGCGACAGTTGGCAACGCCATCGGAATCAGCTACGCAAACGGTTAGCCCCAGACCGCCCATCAACAGAAGCAAATATTCTTCTTGACATCCTGCTAGACACATTCAACTTACCGGCAACCCTATCACAAGAAAAACCTCAACAACAAGCTGAAACACGTCTCAGACGGTGGCCTCTCCGACAGCGGCGAACAACAGTCAAGATGCAGGTCGACCCCAGGAAAGCACGCTATTAAAAAGGGGAGGAGTGTTAGGGACGATAGATCCTCAAAACTCATATTTCGTAATTTGAATGGCAGTCAATTGATGAACTAGTCGATCAAATGTTTAAATATTTGAAAAGGCAGTCGATTGACGAACTTACTGATTAATGTTTAAAAAATTTCCATGACAATATCGATTATAAATATTTGTATAAATACACTTGATTTGTGTGCCTGATTGACCTGGTATCTGCTGGTTGCCTGTAGAATACACTTCTACGTCTTACCAAGACTTCTTGATCGAGTTAGCTGAGTCGGGGACAATGGACCAGAATAGCCTATTGAGTCTCTGAATCCTGATACTTCGTTCAGTTCCGAATAAACCGAATCAGTAGTAGTATTCAAGCTTAACGAACCTAACAAGACACTTGATCCATCATGTAATTTTCTGTGTGAGTATGATTGAGCACATGTCTGCACATCAACTTCCAATCTATTCTCCCATTGGTTGTAATACACAGATAATCAATAATTTATCCATACTTGATTAACACTCAAAAATATATATGGATTTTTAGCACTCACACACACACTCTTGGTTTCCCTGCCTGCTTGCCTCCTGTACGCCTGCGGATTTTACCAATCTTTAACAATGAACTATCTCTATAACTGATGTTCAGGCTTTTGAATGATCTCGATTAAATTCATAATTCTACTAGGAGATTTAGTCTGCATTAAATACTCAGTTAACGGGATACTATTTATTGAAGTCAGATATAGAGGAAATTAGCCTCTACAATATATTGTACTGATCGATATTCAGTTTTTCAATATAACAGCTGAACCATTAAATGTAAGTGTATCATTTCATCAAGTAATGTTAACAAGCACTCAACGGCTGTTTCGTTCAAGAACACGACTTCTCAGCAGTGCACATCTACGATCTCGGCACATGGGACTCCAACCCTGGACCTTCGGTCTCACTGGCGAACGCTTGACCTCTAGAATACTGAGCCGGCATCCAATGGTGTCAGTGTCTAACTTTAATCGATTTATGATCTTACTCAACCATTCATTTATTACAGTCCAGTGTTTCCAGGTTTTCGACGGTGGTCTGGTCATGACTTAAATTATTTTATAGGTATCAATATCAAGGTTCGACTTGACAGTTTCAAATAAATCGAGCATTTGTTAGAAAGTTAATAATACATTTATTTATTGTATCCCAATGAGTGGAAAAACTATATTTCTGTCGTTTCATAACTTAAAGTAAGCCACATCTTCAGAACATAGGGACTCAAAATAACTGTCAACCAACATCAAAATCAGATTCTTCAATACGAACGTCAAGACAGTTCTAATGTACGGAAATGAAACATGGAGAACTACTACAACCATTATCAAGAAACTATAAGTATTTATAAATAGTTTTCTACACAAGATATTCGACACCCATTGGCCAGATACCATCAACAACAGCCTACTTTAGGAGAGAACAAACCAGCTTCCAGTTGAAGAGGAAATTAAGAAAAGACGTTAGAAGTGTATAGAACATACATTGTGCAAATCAACAAATTGAATCACGAAGCAATCCCTAACTTGTAATCCTGAAGGGAAACAGAAAAGAGGAAGTTCGAAGAACATACTACGTTAGGAAATGGAAGCAGATATAAAAAAGATGAATAACAACTGAAAAGGACTTCTTAGGACAGGGTTAGATAGAGAGTGCTGGTGGGCAGCCTATGCTCCTCCACGAGGAGTAACAGGAGTAGGTAAGTAGATACTTTTTCAGAGTCAATCTACTAAGAAGAATTGGCTTACATTAAGTCACAAAATATCAGAAATATAATTTCTCTGCTCATCTTATCTATTTTTTTTTCAGTGATTGATATCATAAGTCAACTGAAGCTAGACGACCATGGAAAACCTGAAAGCACTGAACAGCCGTTTTGTCCTATTGTGGGACTTCTCAGTAGTGCGCATCCGCGATCCCTCTTTGCAAGGTTCGAACTCAGGACTTATCAGTCTTGCGCAATAGCGCTTAACCACTTAACCAACCATTCAAAAATAAACAAAACTACTTTCAATTATTACTATTATTTTATTGTATTATTTATTAAAGAGGTTAAAATTTCATAATTCAATATGTAAATCTGAAATAATAAAACAAAATAGTTCATGTTAAATATTTAATTACTCTATGAACTTCAAAAAAACTATACATGATCATACTGATTGGAATCATGAGTCAATGGAGTCTAGACCACCATAAAAAACCTGGAAGCACTGGACGGCCGTTTCATCTTAGTACAGGACTCCTTAGCAGTGCACAACTTCGTGGATTGGTTGAAGTAAGATACTAACACCGTTGGATGCCAGCCGGCTCAGTGTTCTAGTTGGTTAAGCACCTGGCGCGAGACTGATAGGTCCTGGGTTTGAATCTCTAGGTCTTCCATGGTGGTCTAGCTTCAGTTGACTCATGATTTCAATAAGTGAAATTTCTAAAATCTCCACAAAATCGCTTCTGATACATGATCATAGTTTTCTTTTATTCATAGTAATATAAACTTACTTAAGCGGTCATTTCAAGTAGAAATAGCATTATTGTCTCTATAGTTTCTAAGCACTAAAAGAACAATCAAATGAGATATTTAGTTAGATAGAAATTGAAATATTGAATCTGAAAAACAAGTATATATTAATGAAGAGTTAGTTTATATTAGAGAGTCCAACAATAGGACGAAACGGCCGTTCAGCGCTTCTAGGTTTTCCACGGTGTCTAACATCAACCGGTCCATGATCTCGATGAAAAAAAACTTATATTAGAGAGTTGATAAATATTCGAAATAGTAACAATCAAATGTTTGTATTATTTTATATTATAGATATATTTATATCATCATATGGGAAATATATGTCTATAGGATGATAGAAAAAATTGCATCACAAAAATGGATTCAGTTGAAATTATATGTGCTACTGATGTCGATAGATATAAGTAGTATGTATTATTAATCGAAATTGAAATGTTTGACCAGTATATAGAATTTCGGTCAGTAATCTAAAGAAATTTCGCTGTGTACATTCTGCTGTTTACCTTAGACGGAAAGATTATATTATTCTTCAGGTGATATTTATCCCTGATCGATAATTTTTGAGTACCAGGAACCACTGGATATCTGTTTCATCTAAACGTAGGGCTCGTCAGAAGGGTATACTTCAAAACCACACACCAAAGATAGAATCGTGGATGTTAAAGATCTTGGGGAAGAGTACTCACTCATTAAAACCGTTGGGATATAATTTGCTGGAAAACAATCTCAAATTCAAGAAATTCATTGTATCTCGATTATCAGCAAAAAATACTGGTGTCGACTTTTTCTCAACCGAAATTTTTCAACTTCATAGGCTATGACTTCTAACCAGAACTTCAGGAACATATCGCGAATTTAATCACTGGTGAGATCATAATTTAGCTCTAGTTGAAGTGGTTTAATGAAGATCAATTTATTCTGTAGGTAGCATTCGTCACATAAATGCATGTCATTAAAAGTCGACCCGATGATCATATTATTTGTGCTCTTCTTGTGAACTTTAAAATTTTTATTTTCAAACAGCTTATTTTATTAACGAAAATGTCTTTGTAAAACGCTACCGGCAAGTAGTTCGAGGACGCAATACATATGAAAATGTTTATACAAAGACTTGTATTGTCAATATAAGCTTGTGGAGATTGTTGAATTTCGTTGCGACCATGAACAGATCATAGTTCAACCTTGTCGGTTGTGAGGAAGATGCCCATCGAAGACAAAGAAGGATGGCCATGAAATATCGTGGACTGAATGAAATTTGACACATACACAACTATATCAAACCTCAGCGGTTTAGGTATTAAGCTTTTACATACTAAATCGAAAGTTCTGATTTCGATTCCCAGGTTCGATGTACTGTCAAGTTTCAAATTTGCCGCTTTTTAATCATTTATCTTTAGTTTAAATGACTGAATTAAATTGTTTTATGGAAACGTTTATTCATGTTAAAGACAAGTTCAGATGAATAATCACTGAAAATAATTGTTTCATTCTAATTTGAAACATTGATCATTCAAAATTTTACAACTGATCACAATTAATATCCTTCATTTCTCAAGGTGAAGTTAGTCAGTCCATCAGCTACAACGTAAGACCAGGCATATATATGCATCGGTTCAAGTTGCCATACTTCATTTGCACAACAAGATGAACATCAAATTCATAGTTACTTCAAAGGTAGTAATATATAAAAGAAAGATTGTGTATAAGGAGATAGTACAGGAGGGAAGAATTAGTAGGAAAGGTATAAAGTAATTTTAATCTCACGATTTCAGCGAAGACAGAGAGTGTATACACCGACGCCATTGTGATCGATTATGACCTTGACGTGGTGGTCGGGCTTGCCTATCGTGATCAACCAAACAATCGTTCCTCAAGGTCCTACCATGTCAGACAGGTCGGTTGAAGAGTGGTGAGACTAAAAGCAACAAATCCAGGGTCCGAAGGCGATGTCGTACTGCTGATTGTACAGAGGCGTGACGGTAGTAAGGTGTTTCCTTCAGACAACCAGCATGACAGTGATACTGCCTTCTTAAAAGAAGGGGTAGGGTTAGAAAAGGTCGACCCTAAAAATGCACATCTCACCTTGTCCCACGGATATCCGTCTCCGTTCGTAAGGTCTCAACAAGTATGGAGCTAACACGAAAATTATTGACAAAAAGACCGTGTGTGACTGACCTCCAGCAGATGTCCCTTGATCACTGCAGTCACTCTCTCAGGTCACTAAGACCACGTTTAATCCAATTTCCTTTTCAGGTATCTCGAGAAGAACCTTTTCTTGGGTTGGGCAACCATGAAGTGATAATTGCTCTCATAGCTCTAACAGCAATTAAGGTGAAGTCAAATAATAAAAATAGCTAAATTGGAACTGAAAAAATTACATTTTCAACTTGAATCACATGCACTAACATGAGATTATGAGTTCACACTATTGATCTGTTGTTCCCCATTATGAAAATCATCTCAAAAATTATGAATACTCACTTTGTGTTTATCAGCTGCATGATGTTTACACATATTCTTTATGATTATCTCTTCATATTCTGGTGATTTGGCTAAAGACAAGCCATAATTTATATGCTCATTAATACCTACATTGAAAAAGAAATATAATAAAGAATAATGTTTTGAAGATCAATAGGGTCTTTTTCCTAAAATAAGTCATCAAAACATCGGAGTTAAACTGTTACGAAGTAAACTGGAAACTATACAATCCAACTTTATTAAAATAAACTAACACCTTTTATAAATTTTTTATCACTAGATTGAAAGATTTGGGAATGATACAATATGTTATTTATCAATTTTACTAACCAAAGACAATGAAAGATGGGCGTACACTATCGTGGATTGGTTAAAGTTAGGTATTTACACCATTTGGTCTCGGCTTTATGGTCTAAAGGTGCTGGGTTGGAGCCTTGCGTTCAGGATCTTGGATGAGCACTGCTGAGGAGTCCTATTCTGCGACGAAAAGGTCATCCAGTAAAGTGAACGTCATCCATAAGATTATAGTGTGTGGAGGAACGTGACGTCAAAGGTGTTACAGTTATCAGATAGAGTGAAGAGTTTCTGTGCATCGAAAGCACGGGTGGAACACTTGGAGACCAGGCGAGATGACAGTTTACATAGCAAAACATATCGTAAGATGCCAACGGAAGACTGAAGTCTCTGTTCAATTGAATATATAATTACTTTGTATCTTCTCATGGCGACGGGGATAGGATCCTATCCCCGTCGCCAAATTTGCTAGGTTCGAAGCTATCACGAGTTCACTTAATCTGCGAACGAAAAACAAGGCTCGGTGACCAAAGACCAGTAAGGTAGCTACTGATGCGTCCCAGCCCAGCTAACTAGAGGGGGAAGTCCAAGCTTGGAATGGAAAGTATATTCTGCAAACAGCCAGAAACGAGCGATCACAACAAACACAATTCAAAACGTGTATATATATATATATATATATATATATATATATATTCAATATTGCTATGGAAGTTTGTTTTAAACGTTTAATCGATAAGTTAGTCAGTCGACTGCCATCGAAGTATTTAAACATTTAATCGATAAGAATAGTTTAGTTAATCAACAATCATACGGTAAAAATATACGTATAGTATTGGTCCACAATTGAATCCCAAAAATTGCCGCCCATTACTCTTATCGGGGCATAACATCAATGATGATCTAACACTAATCGGTTCAAGATTACAATAAAAGCTTTTAGTAGCCCGGGATCTGACTCCAGGTAGATCGTTTGCTGCTTGTTATCAAGATATACATGCCGCCAATCCTCGCGGGGCTCAAACCCAAGACCTACTGGCTTCGCGCGCGAGCACTTAACCACTAGACCACTGAGCCCGCGTGGTGCGGGATCGTGGATGCACACTGCCGAGGAGTCTCATACTAGGACGAAACGGCAGTCCAGTGCTTCCAGATTTTCAATGGTGGTCTAGCTTCAACTGGCTCATGATTTCAACCTGTGGAATTAAATAAGTCAAATACGAGAACGAAGTTTCGAATACGTACATTTCGTACAATCGTTGATCTGAACAAACAATCAGGGAGACGGAGAGAAGGAAGCGAATGGGCGAGAGAGAGAAATGAAACTAAGTGATACTTAGTGGAGTAGCCGAGTGAACCAACACCCCGCAATCAAGTGTTCATCGATATTATGGTCAGATAAAAATAATTTACAAACAAATGATGAGTAAGATAAGAGATGTACACACATACGCTCACATAAAAACAGTCAAGGTTGATAAGTGAATAATTAACTGGGTTAAAAAGTGGCTTGAGAAGAATGAATAGATTGATCTGTCCAGAGGTTAGAATAACCCATGTGAGCTTGACATAGTACGAACCCCTACAAGCTCAACAATCTTCACAACCTTATACTAATAATTGTATATTATTGGATTTAGATTACCCAACTTTATAACTGTAAAATTTGACGTGTGAAAAGCCAATATCAAGCAGTTGAAATGGTAAATGCTCCATTGACTAACTTCAATAGAACATTATAAGCAATTCATCGAGAATATATGTATTTAAGAACTTTTGTACTTACATGATGAAATTTCAGAATCTGATAACATTGTGTGTTCATGGTGACAGAAACCTAGTTTCTAATATATAAAAAAAGAATTATATAACTGATTGAAACACATAAATTATATTTATAAGCAAAGATGGATAGTGGTTAGCAGTGGGATCTAGGACATCAGTTTCGTTCTATTTTGGACACATCAACTGGATGTACCTGCATCTTAGAGATAATGTTTACTCTGGGACTCGATCAACAACAATGAGAAAATATAAAAAACAATACTAAATGAATTTAAACTTCATACCATTGCACAATCAAGTGGCTATCAGGACTCAATAGCTAAGTGGATAACGAGATGGCGTTTGAAGCGAATGGTACTGGGTTCAAGTCACTGAGTGAATATCAACTTTGAGATACAAATATATGTCTATCTGATGAGTCCCAGATAGGACGAAACACGCGTCCTGGATTCCACTGTTAGCCATCATCATCCATCTTTGCTTATAAAATACAATTGTATATATTTTGAAAATGAAGTTGTTATTAAGAACGAATTATTTTATGAAACTGTCTGTTTTATATGGTTACAATTTATTCAGGCTAACCGCCTAGTTGATCATTAGATATATACTTAAGTCATATGGATTTTGTGTAAAATGTTATTACCTTATGTAATACTTCAAGTATCAAAATAAAGAAACAGGATATTTAATGATTAAAACAAAAACATAATAATAATAAATAGTTTACTTACAGAACATTCTAAGGTAACATTTATATGATGAGCCAATTGATGAATTGTCCTCGGTAAATAGTGTGTGATGTCTAGACACTGTTAAAAGTGGACAATATATATATATATGAGATGATGGAAAATATTTGCAGCTCAGGTGGATGATTTTGATGGAATTTTATTCCCTGAGATCGATGGTTTTATCGTGGAGCTTTCATCGTTATTCTGAACGACATCATCAGCACTTCTACCTGAAGTTTGTGCTGATGATGTCGTTCAGAATAACGATGAAAGCTCCACGACAAAACCATCCACCTCAGAGAACAAGACTTCGTCACTATATATATATATATGGCAATTGTCAGCAAGGTTTATCTATAATCGTGAAGGAATTAAGGCTCAGTAGTATTGTCTCTGACTTCTAGGTTAGGTGACACGTAATAGGATCTAGCAGGAAGCACTGATCCATTCACGATTACAGGTACATTTTGCTAATAAGTACCAAATAGCACGAAATCTGTATCCAAAGTCACTTGTTGACCATCTATTTTTAAACAAAGTATACATTCTCTGCAAGAATCTTGCGGGACATGATCGTGAATGCACACTGCCGAGGAGTCCCATCCTAAGATGAAACGGTCATCTAGTGCTTCCAAGTTTTCCATGGTGATCCAGCTTTAAATGGCTCATGAATTCAACTATAAAAGTACACGTTCCCAAATTTTCCGATTAGTGTTCCCAATATTTGAATATAACGTAATCTTATATTTTTAGTTAAAGCGCTTCAAAATTTAGATTTGAAAAAGAGTTCAATATAGTCAAAAAACTTGATCCTTATTCATTAGTTTCCAATTAAGATTTTTTTCTTAATTCCATTTATTTTGAACATGAAATATTACATTATTATTTTGTACTGTGAAGAGTACTACTTAACTCCGCCTGGAGTCCCTCCGAGGGCTACTGCCGGTCCCAAGCACAAATAAAGGAGGAGGATTGGGCATGGGGTTAGCGACCCCATCCCATAGAAAACTAATTCGCTAAAAAAACGCTAACCAGAAAAAATCATTCAAACATTTTAAACTCTGCCCTGGGAGTCAGAAGGTCTTCATTTAGAAGAACTATGACGTTTCATGGTGAAAGCCGAGTTCCTTCAGAAGTCACGAAGCCGATGGCCCTTCTGACAACCACAGCAACAATTTATCTAGGTACATGGAATGTTCGTACAATGTGGGAGACCTGGAGAGCCTTCCAAATTGCTGCAGAATAGTACTACTTATAAGTAGTATTTAAAAGCTCTTAATTAAAGATGAATATGTTAATATTTTATAAAAAAATTAATAATAATATGAGTATATTACTTCATCTCTCCACTGTTCTTCAGGAATTAAATTGCACATCTGAGATATTATTCTTGAGGTTAATGGGAGGAATGGTTCATGTTCAATGAATGTTTTTACCAATCTTCCTATACGTCTACAAATTCCGCATACTGGACGAAAATAACAAACGATTATGATTATTCAGTTAATGGAAGAAGAAGAAGAATTCTTGTAAAAGAAATAAATTTTGTAAGTGATATTTATCATGATTTAATGTTACTGAAGGTATTAGGAAGGACTGGATAAGTGTTATGTCTTAGTATGGAACTCATCAATAATGAATACTTATAACTTTATCGGGAATCAAATGCAGAAATTTCCAGTGTAGCTATATAATCTTAAAGTTTAAACTAGCTTGTTGAATGTTTTATTATACAGGGAGGGGGGGATAAATATTCACATATAGGCATTTATTTGAAAAAGTACCAAGAAACAATCAGCCACAGTTTGATAATCTTTTAGAACTTCAAAATACCATACAACATCACTCATACTTCACTATCTTGCACTGATCAACTGCAATGATTGATGATCAAAACTGATTCAGAGTTAGATTGATTACCATTCAACGTACGATCCTATTGTAGATGCGTATCACAACGTATGAAATAGAATGTTTAATGAAAAGTATTACCCTTTTTATCATAACTGTTACTGTAAAATGTTTTAATCCATTTTATATGAACAAGATTTAAGTTAAAAACAACTTGAAGTTAAGCAGAGATAGATAGTGGCTAGCAGTGGAATCCTGGATGCGCGTTTCGTCCTATTTAGGACTCGTCAACTGGATGTACCTGTATCCCAGAGTTAATGTTCACTCCGGGACTCGAGCCCAGTACTGTTCACTTCCAACGCCATTGCGTTATCCACCCAGCTACTGAGTCCTGATAGCCACCTGCTTGTAAAATGGGGTGGAGTTTAAATTCCACTGCTAGCCACTATCCATCTTTGCTTACAAAGCTATATCGAGACAATCCGCACAGGATGCACATATGCCAACATGAAACTGATCAATTGCAGTCCTAAATATCAATGTAAAGATGCAAGTAAAACAACACCAAATGAACTGCAACTTGAAATGTTTTTTTAAAAAAAGATGAAATGAGTCAAGTCTTACGGAGATGACAGTGTGGTCTTTTCAATTGTTCACCGTATATCTAAAGAAAAGTATGAATGTTTGTAAATGAGATAAACAATATTGATTTTAAAAAGAATATTATATAATCTGAATAGTTAAGTAGATATTATCACTGTTATAATGTCATCTTAAAAGGTTCGAATAATTTTTCTGGTTAGCGTTTTTTTAACGAGAAATGGAGATAGAAATGAGAAAAATGAAGAAGAATTGGATGGAATTAGAAAAGAAGGCCCAGGACAGAGTGAGTTGGAGAATGCTGGTCATCGGCCTATGCTCCATTAAGAGTAACAGGCGTAAGTAAATAAGTAATGTCATCTTAGTTGTATTCTTTCCCCATGGCTAATATTTGTATTACATGTAAGTATTAATATAACAGGCTTCCATCTGAAGTTTGTGCTGATGTTGTCGTTCAGAAGAACGATGAAAGTTTCACAACCAAACCAGCCATCTCAGAGAACAAAACTCCATCAAAATCATTCATTTGAACTACAAATCTTTTCCATCATCTCAAAATCTTAATGAAAACCAGATTTATTAGTGTAGTTTTCCTACAAAACAGAACTGATACTGAAACAGATTTTTATGACAAACAGATACCAACTGGAAATAACGTCAGACGACTAACTTATTTTTATATAATTAAAATCCAACATCAAGCGGTTATTGTGAAATTTCAATTTATGGTTGAACGCAATACCGCCTACTCAAGTTATCACGATGTTACAAGCCTAATTCGTACGACTCTGATTATAAAAAAGTTACACTTCACTTTTCGAACTAACAATCAAAGTAATATAACCAACAATGCTGTAAGTAGTTGTGTAGTTTACTCATTAAATGGGAAATAAATCATTAAACACATTTTGAAATTTTATTACTTGATATACTGACTTCTAGTAACTTAAAACATCATATCATTCAAAGAATAACACATTATTAGTGTAGGGATTTGTGGAGATTGAGGTGTTTTCATGGTTTATTTCAAACGTCTGATTAAGCTAGACCATCACTGAAAACCTGGAAACACTGGATGGCCGTTTCGTCCTAGGTTGAGATTCCTCATTAATGTGCATCCACGATCCTGTACCAAAGGAAATCAAACCCAGAACTCTTGGTCTCGCCTGAGAATGCTTAATCTTTAGAACACTGAGTCAGCATCCAACGGTGTTAATGTCCAGCTTTAATTGATCGATGTACTTATTTATATTCGATAAATGTGATGTTTGATTATACTTCGTTGTGAAAGCTTGGACCAGATTATCAGACAAAACTTTGGATTTACTTTAAATTCATTCCCTGAGATATTTCAAATACATTTTTCCTCATTAATATGTATCAATAGTTTGTAAACAATCATTATCAGCTGTTTATTCAGTTTCTATGCTCATCTTTATTTATGAATAGTTTATAAAGGTGAATTCTATGTTAATCGGTTATTGCTTTTACTTAGAAAAATATGCCATATTTAAATAGTTAAAACAAATTTTTAACAAAAAAATATTATCAGGAAAGGGGTTTTGTGGAGATTGTAGTAAATTGGAAGCACTGGACGGACGTTTTGTCCTCAAGAGTACACATCCACGAGAGACCGAAAGTCTTCGGTTCGAATCCTGTGAGCGACGTCGAGGATGTGCAATACTGAGGAGTCCCATACTAGAACGAAATGGCCATCTAGTGCTTCCAGGATTTTTATGATGGTCTAGCTTCAATGGACTCATGAATTCAACTATTAAAAATAGTATATACTTTAAAACTGGCATTAAAATTTGACATTCAATTAGAAAACTATCTTATGATACATCTGTTATAAACACTAACTTGACAAATATATCTTAGGATCAAAAGCGGTTTTTGTAGATATTATATTAATTTCAATAGACCAAAGGCCCAGGTTCGAATCTTGCGATCAGGATCGTGGCTGCACACTGCTGAGGAGTCGCACAATAGGATGAAACAGCCTTCCAGTGCTTCCAGGTTTCCAAAAGTGGTCTAACATCAATCGATTCATGATCTCAATCAAAAACTTAATAATCTCCATAACCCCTATACTATTAATTTCAATAGTTGAAACCATGAATCAATTAAAACCAGACCACCATAGAAAACCTGGAAGTATTGGACCGTCATTTCATCCTATTATATGACTTTTCAGTAGTACGCATCCACGATCTCGTCTCGCAAGATTCGAACCGAGAACGTTCAATCGTTCAATGATCCAATAAGAAATCATCTTATTTAATATTTTGTTTAAAGGAGATAAACCATTTTATTAAGCAAAAGATTACTTATACTTTATATACTTACATTCTCTTCATTTCCTAAGGTTACTTCATTGATACCTAGAAACAATAAAATATAAAGTAACAAAAAAATACACTTTTTGTTATTGTTTATTTACTTAATAAAACAATGAAAATGTAAAATTGCTTCAGTATGGTTTTCATTATTGTTTATTTCAGTTAAAACATAATTCAATTTCAATGTTGTATTTATACCATTTTTCTTCTTCTTCTTTCTTGTTCTTGTTGTTATTGTTGTTGAACTGAACTGAACTGAACTGAACTATTCATAATTCAATTGTTCAATGTTCAATTTATTGAATTTCAAATGTTTGTTTAAATAAAAGAGCAAAGTTTATTTTCATATGATCAAAGTATCAAATACATCAAGTTGATTACATGGTTTGTTTTAATGTATTTATCAATGATGTAAATAATTTCGTTTCTACGTATTACGTCATCATTAGTGGTATGAGGTATATTTTGAAAAAAAACGAATGGTAACTGATCATTTAGTGTTTTTATTCTTAATTACTTAATTAACATTGTTGTTTACGGGTTAATATGTGTATTATTATTATTATTATCATCATCATCATCATCAAACAGAAGAGTTGCCAATTCCAACGAACTTTGAGATTGAATTAGATCTATTTCAATATTTAGTCTTTTTTTGAAAAATTTTAAAGGTTACTATGGTGATACATTTGTTTATCTCGTTATCATAAACCTGTGATCCATTTGATAAAAATTATTATTTTTTTTAAAAAAAACTTTAGTGGAAATAATATACATTTTAAATCATGCCAAATTTGTTTGAATTAGATCTTTATAACAATTAATTGAGAGAATAAGCATGACTATAATGTAAGGATATTGACTTTTTGTCTTGTATGGTGAATTTGGATATTCGGTAGCTGAAATAGTTGGAAAGAAATTCTACTTGAAAGATTTTGTGCTGATTGATAATCAAAAGAAGAATGTGTTTATCATTTTGAGAGGAAAGAGGCTCGTTTGTGCTAGGTTTTCTATTGAGGTTTCCATTGGGGTTTCCTTGCCTGAGTTCGAATCCCATCCATGTCGCTGAATTTACTGGGTTTGAAGCGATTACTAGTTCATTTAGACTGCGAACAGAACAAAAATTGTGACCAAAGACCAATAAACTAGCTATTCTATTGCGTCTCAGCCCCGATAATTAGAAAGAGAAGTGGAAGTGCGAACGGGGAAGTATATTCTGCAAGAAGCCAGAAGCACAAACGATAACAACGGACACAAATCAAAACGTATATATACAGCACAAAACCGTCCTTTGGATGGGTTACAAAATGGCATACTAAAAAACACAACGGACCAATAACGTTTAAGATTCTCCCAAGTGAGAAATACGACATGAAGGTGAAGAAGGTGATTTTGGAGCGAAAACAAAGAAATTCAAATTTCCTAAATAAAATTACAAAATTACGTTCTTTTCCGATTGAGTTCTGGGGATCTAACGTCCCCAACAGTTTGTAAGATTTGAATCCACTTTGAGGGCTCTAACAAGCATGAAATAAAAGTCGAGAAGGAGTAAGTAACTATTGAAAATCTGAAAAATTGTTTTATTCTGGAAAAGGACTGATCAATAGTGCCCATTCACAACCTCACAGTTGAGAACTGAACCAAACAATTCTAGTCTCAAGTTCAAATGATTAATAACGTATAAGCCATCAACCTCTACAATCCCCATAATGATAAATTAAGTTTTAGCATATTTTTATTGCGCTACGCATCTCCCAGTATATTACAGTATCTAATTTTATGAATTATCCGGTAATGTAGATTGTTCTAATTAATCAAAATAGGCTGTAAAATTCAAATCTAACTATACTATTTAAAATACTACTTTCAATCATGGTACTCACCAAGCATGAATATATCTTTTAACTGTGGTGTTATCATACATGTGATGATAGATAATAAGTCTTGCTTAATAGCCTGTAATCGAAAAATGACAATAAATGACTGTTTTTTATGTTCCTTCAACGAGCTGAAGACTTGAAAGATCTGTGTGACATAATTTTATCACTTACTACGATGAAATGTTTTGTAATAGAATATGAGTTACTAATAAGTAGTATACTTAGGGAACTTTAATACTAATCATGAATTAACTTGACATCTAGATATTATTTATATTGTTGTAAAATTCAAGTAATGACGATTAAATTAAATTTAATAGAGAAAGTGGTTCAGTCGTTACAAATGATTCACACATAGAACGCAAGTTAGTTGTAGCCTACAAAGAGCTTAAAAAAGACATAAAATACAGAGCCAGATAACACTCAACAATAGTTGAACACATTTGAATGATCGGCGAGACTATAATTTATGGATGAACCAGTCACGTACAAGATAACAGGTTTCGAATTTTGGCGCGAAAGTCACTCATTCATTCAGATAAATAGAGTTTTGGCATTATAGCTGATGTCAGTTCGTGACGAAAACCCGAAATCTAATTTCTAACCTTAATTATCAACTGTAAATTGTAATTTCAATACCTCACACTAGTTTATAACTGTTGGGATATTCAGGAAAATATCCCAAAAATTATCCGGTTAAGTCTAACGCTACCCTTGAACGTTAAATGGTGTCATTTCCCTATTGGTCGTTTCCCTACTGATCAATATTTATTTCGCGTGTCATTTTCCTATTGGTCAATATTAATTAACGTGTCATCTTTCTGTTGGTCAATATTTATAGTAATCCTAACTGTATAAATATGCATTTGTTTGTAAATCATTATTCTGCTGCTCCTGACCCCATAAACGATTTTTCATCTACGGTTCGTGTTCTGATATATTGGAGATTGGGAACAGTGTTGGGGTCGAACTGGGATATCTGAAGCTTGTCAATCGGTAGAATTTAGAGTAGCCAACTCGCGATTCACAGTATAACCCTCATTTGGTCGTGTTTATTAGGTGGACACTCAAGGTCATTTTAGCGTTGCTTGAAGGTCGTCTATAAATTATAGCCTCACCGAATGATCTTATCTAGTTACAATTAAACAGCTACTAACCGACATCGCTCCTGTAGAGTAGTTTTTTTAACCAAGATTCATGACTTGAATTATTATGATTAATAAAGATGAAGTTTGTACTCTTGTAATTACTACTCATTCAAAGTGAACTAAGTTTATTATTTGTTATCTTCCTATGGAGAATTACCAGTGAAAATTTATAAACAAGAGGTTGTCATATTTGAAAACATTATTGAGTACTACAGTCTAGATATAACTAGGCTTAACTTTTAATTCTTCAGTTATGAATAACCTTGAATAATATATCAGTAAGTTACCAGTTAGCACTGCTACAGTATCAAAACACTTATGCAATCAAAAAAAGCTCTACTACACAAGTTATAATTATCTGAACAATAATATGACAACGGAAACTGGGAAATATGAAACGCATCAAATATAATTACCAAGCGTAACACAATCAGTAAATATGTATTTTTTTACATGGCCTGACACACTAATTTGTGATTTCTTTTAACCTTCAATAACGTTAAACAGATTAGAGCATTGTAGTAGGCAATGAATAGGATATGTGTTGCACGAGTTAATAAAAGTCTATAGTTCCACTAATCTATTTGGATTTTGAAAGTTGAATTGATGGTTTGATCCAAGCTGGACCACCATTGAAAACCTGGAAGCACCAGAGAGCCATCTCGTTCTAGTATGGGAATCCTCAGCATTGCGTACCGATGATCAAGCATAACTAGATTCGAACCCATGACCCATCAATCTCACGCGTGAGCGCATAAACTCTAGGCCGTTGAGCAGGCATCCAATGGTGTTAATGCCTAACTTCAACCAATCCATGAAGTTACGAAATTCACAATGGTGTAAATGTTATTTGTCAAGAAAGATTCAAAGGCTTGATAAACTTTTCCCGATTTCAACTCATATTCTTATTCTTATGCAACTATTTGTAATAATTAACTAGTTACGAGAATTCACCCTAATTTTAATTATGTTTCAAACGTTGTGTAACTAACTGATTACAATATAGTTCAATTGACTGATCACCACTTAATTGGTAGCAGTCAGTAAGTCAATAATAACGTAGAACTTAGTACGTACGTACATCAGTTCGAGTTGACATACCATATTAACACAGAGATGCAGTTATCGATTCAAATCCCATAGTGGTACAGGTAGTAAGACTATTAGCAGTAATCGGAAAACTTGGGGTTTGTAGATGTTATCCAAGCACTACAATACAGTGAAATAAATTTGGAAAGAAAATAAAGGACATGAAGAATTCAGAAGATCAGAATTTGGGAGAACACAGAGAGTGGATGCACCTGCGCCATTGCAAACGATTTTGAGCCATGTCATTCAAGGTCTCTAACTATCGATTTCTATCTTCTCGGTGATCACCACTAGGTAGTCTACACCTATAAACATGGCTCAGTTCACTTGTCAGTCACTTCATGAACTTGTGCCATGTTTTGGCCACTCCTAGCTTTCTTCCAACCTACTCCTACACCAGAAAACATCGCACTTCAAGGCAGTCAGTGGTTGAGCATACGTAACACGTGTCCCAAACATCTCAACTGATAACGTTTTACTACTTCAATTGATTTACCATCCTTACCTAGTACCCGTTTCCTAACAAATGCATTACTTACTCGATGGTCCCAGGATATACGAGTAATGCTTCGAAGACACCTATGATCGAATATTAGTAACCTACGGATATCGTCTACTCTTACCGGCCATGTTTCACTGCCATAAAGTAGGACGGAACGAACTGCTGCGCAGTAAACACGTCCTTCGGTTGACAGACGGATATCTCGCCTACGCCATAAATGACGCAAGTTGGCAAAAGCTAGTCGAACCTTCTGTATCCGTGCCGAGATTTCTTCACAATTCAAATCACAAAGGCTGACGAGACTTCTAAGATAAGTGAAATGTTCGACACTCTCAACTCGGTTGTAAATCATATCATATATAAATTTACAATGTTACAAAACACAGTTCACCGTTTCCACATTAGATGATACTGTTACTAAATAAACTATCTATAACATGTTCAAATAAACTATTATCCGACTACAACTCCTTAAATTCAACTCATTGAGAAGAAGAAAAATTCGAAAGTATTTTGCATATTTATTTA